GGGGACTGGGGTTGTTAAGCGTGGTCCAGCTGGCACCTATTGTTTACAAATCATCTGCCGCTGCCACGCTCGACCTGCAGTCTGCCCTGCTCCGGCAATCTTTCACGAATCTTGGTACCCCACCAGCATCACCCAACCGAGCAAAACATTTTCAAGCTCGGTTGCTGGAAGAGGCATACAAAACAACTTTTCAGTTTTTGTTGTCCTCTAGTCCCGACGATGCAACTTCGGCTCGTCTGCTGGCCGCGTCAAGCGACGCGAGCTGCGGTTGGTTGAGATCCTGGCCCAACTCATCGGTGGGTACCCGACTGGATGATGAGACGGTCAGGATGGCCATTGGTTTTCGTCTGGGTTTAACGGTCCACCATAAATATCTGTGTAGGTGCGGTGCGGAAGCTAACGAACTCGGTCACCACGGCCTGGTCTGTCGTTTAGGTGGAGGTCGTCAGTTGCGCCATTTCGCATTAAATGATTACATCTGCCGGCTTTTCTCCAAGGCTTCAATACCCGTTCTTAAAGAGCCCTCGGGAATTTCCGCGTTGGATGGAAAACGTCCGGATGGCTGCACGTTGATTCCTTGGAGAGCCGGTAGATGCCTGGCGTGGGACGTAACCGTTCCGGGCACATTAGCGGAACGGTACGTGCACTTAACCAGCAAAGAAAGTGGTTTGGCCGCAACCAGGGCATCGGATGAAAAGTTTAAAAAATATGAAGGTGCCCTGCCTTCGATGGATTTTTTACCTGTTTGCATCGAGGTTCTTGGCCCGATGGACAACAACACTTCAATATTTTTTAAAAAGATTTGCAAAATGATAAGTGGCAGGTCCGGCGACAGCAGAGAGCTATTTTTCGCCATGAATAATATATCTTGTTTGCTGCAAAGGTTTTTGCGAGTCTGTGTTACCGAAAATGTTCAATTAAACGCCGACGTGAACGAATAACGAGATATCAATTGTTAACCGATTTTTTCAGATGTTTGACTGTTTAGTGTCACTCATCGCTGATTTGGTTTTAACATACATACATACATACATACATACATACATACATTTATTTCGGTTGGTCTGAGGTTATGCAACATATTTTTACATAGCACAAAACGATGCATAACGACCATACCTAATTGAACATACAGATTAACGATGCAGTACAATATATTCCATACAATACAATACAATATATTCCATACAATATAATATATTCCATGCCATACCATACAATATATTCTATACAAAGCAATACAAGTGACTGATACAAATATAAACATACTTTCTTTTCTAATGAATAATGATTGTTTTTATTAAGCCGATCCAGATATAATTAAATCGAATCTATAAATTGATGAAGCGCCCGCCATGCTTGCATGCCATGACTTCCAGGAATCAATCAACTCTTTTTTGTCTAAATTTTATTACCTGATATATTTTGTTTATTTATGCTGCATGTTATTTGCACTGTTGTTTTTTCAAATGATTCAAATTCGAATTCTGATCTCTAAGGATTGTCAGGAAATCTACTTTCAAATAAATTATTATGTAAAGTTCTTCCTCCTCCATCTCAAACGATCGCAAAAGCATTTCCGATAAAAAAGCGAATTCACTGCTCTATAATTCACTTACGTAAAAAAAACTTCAAATAAGACTTGATGTATGGCTGATGCCCCCTACAGTGTAGCGAGCGTGTGTTTTGTATGTTGCATGTGTGTTATATGTCATGGATGTTGAACATTTAGAAGCCGGTTGCGGCGTGTTTAAAACGTTTGTCCGATGGTTTTGTTCGAATCTATCAATGCATTATTATAATATCGTTTAACTTTTTCTTTAAATTGCTGAATTGTGTTTCATTGTAACAAACGTATTAATTAATGTTTGTAACAAATATCCCTTGATTGTATTTTTGTTATTGGTAGATATATTTGCGCAGATTGCAGTGCCAAACTTTAATTTAATTTTTTTAAATTAAATAATTTCAATTCATGTGTTGTCGTTCGGTTGTGTAAAAAAGTGAACAACGTTTCAACATGAATGACAGCTGATGACGTTCCAACTGAAGAGCGTGGCGAGCGTGGAGAAGGAGGTCTGCAACTTTGAGACCTGGAGTGTCCGCTGTTCACAGCTTCACGATGTCCTCTTCATCGTGTCGGCGTTGTATGGCAGGATTGCTGTCGGCAAGTGTGTGAGGGACGACCTCGGTGTGGTGGGCTGTCACGTAGATGGCGTTCAACTGCTAAATGCATTGTGTCTAGGAAGGAAGGACTGTGTGGTGAATGTTGAGGAGGTGTTTGCTGGAGTGCATGGAGGCTGTGGTCAAGAATTGAAGAACCATTTGCTGCTCAAATATCAATGCATTCGTGGTTGTTAAATTCTTGTTTATTTTTTTTTATTCAATTTTGTTTCAACAAATGCAGATGATGTTTTTAATATCAAGTAGCAAGTCTGATGCCAGTGTTAAAAATGTTAATTCCATTCCGAAAACTCAATCGCAGTTCAATTTTCATAATTTGATTAAAAATTTTTTTAGGTACATTGCACATGCAAACCACTAAAAATGTTTTTTGATTTACATAGTGCAAGGCGCAAAAGTCTTCAACCTTCGCATCGGCACGAGCAACATTCGAACCACGGCAACGTGTAGTAGCGACAGTGCAACACGTGGCAACCACACTGACCACGTTAACAACCGACAAAATTGAATAAAACACTTAAATCAGTTAGCTTTATCAGCGTTGATTGACGGTGTTTCAAATGAAACTGTTCCACGGGAACATTATTTATTAACATACTTATATTATCAAAAGATTTTAAAGATTATAGAATTTGAAATTCAGTAAATAAAAATATTTATTCACTGTGATGGTTTGTGTCCGACTTCAAATAACTTCCTCACGTAGCATACTACTCCTTTTCCTCCTATGACCTCATGCGCAGTCGTCCTTCAGCTGGGTGCAGGCCGATCAGCCCGACCACCAGCAAGTTCCTGCTGCCCCACCATCCCGTGTGTGGTACGTCGAAACTAACAGCGTGGAAGCTGAACATTGCACGAAACAATCTATTTCAACTCCATGCAGAGAGTTTATTCGCAGTTAAACTTTCATTATTTATTTCAAGAGGTGGGTGTTACTGTTTATGTGCTTTAAAGTTTAAACTATGTGGCTGACTTCAAATAACAAAGTTTGCCTTTTTGAAAGTTGCGTAATAAAAAAAACTATTTAACAATTTTTTATGCAAATATACATGCTCAAATTATGTGCCTAAAATTTTATTGTTTTATTTTTTAGATTTCATTTAAATACTATCAGCAATTTCTATATCTAGTCAACGAAGCAACCCAACACAACTCATCAACATGCCTGTGTTCGGTGAGTTTCCATTTCAAGACGGATGCTGAGCAAGTTTGGTTCGAGAAATGCCATCAAGATGATCCGATAATCAACTCCACCCACCTCCTCCTCAGCTCCCTGCTTGTCACGCCTTCCAGACGAATAGAATTCTATTCGAAAGACTGCAAGCATCGTCACAAACTGGACTGGATTGTTGAAGGTTCGATGTGCCGCAAGAACATGTTGGACCTCGCTTTTCTTGGCCTCAATGTATTTTGTCCCCGCTTGTCTTGACGTCAATGTATTTTGATCCCGCTTGTCTTGACTTCAATGTATTTGATCCTGCTTGTGTTGACCTCAATGTATTTTGACCCCGCTTGTCTTGAGTTCAATGTATTTTGACCCCGCTTGTGTTGACCTCAACTTATTTTGACCCAGCACAAATTGTTACAAATTATAATGAAACTCCAATTTGATTCAATTTTAAGTTAAAGTCATTACACTAGACATTTAAATGGACTAATTAGTTATTTTGTAAAAAATTTGTCTACTTTAAGTGAAGTTTTAGTGGTTTCAATTGTTAGGAGTTTTCAACAAGCAATCGGTTTGTGAGGGCTGATGATAAAAATCTTTCATTATTTCAAAAAAAAACAATCACGTTATTTTTTTAGGGCTTTAAAAAATACTTGGTCAAAAATTGTTTGGATCTAAATAAGGAGGCCAAGCTGATGAACACTTTCTTGTTCTTCCTTGAATAATTGTTACAAAACATTTTAACACCCCACGTGATCAACTTAACGACAGTGCTGCACGGCCGAGGCCAATCACACGACGACCACCAATCCGCTGACCATCAGCAGACCAACATGCAAACTGAAGATCAGCAGACCAACATGCAAACTAAAGATCAGCAGACCAACATGCAAACTGAAGATCAGCAGATTAACATGCAAATAAAAAAGGAAAAAACCAAAAAGTCCCATCTTCAAATCAGTGCAGGTAATTACATGCATCGTCCATCCTCATCATTCTTGCCACTATCGTCTGCATCTCGACTAAACAACTTCACGTCATCTTCATCGTCAACATTTTCCTCCTATTCGTTGCCTTCCTCTTCATCTTCAACATCGACATCTTCGTCATCATATTCATCATCGTCGTCGTTTTCAGTATTCAAGACGTCTTCATATACATTCAATTCCTCCTTTCCAGCCAGTTATTTGAGTGCACACTCCAACCAGCTTGAAGGTCAGCATCCTTTGCAAGCACGTTTTTTGTAATTATTCTACTCCAATTTTAATTATAAACTTATTAAAAATATTTTGATGTAATTACATAAATATTAATAAGCAATTGTAATAAGTCAATACAATTCTGCTCTCATAATTAACTGAACAAAACCAATTTCCATTCTTAATATGTGACGGGCAGTTGAGCTAAATTCCTTTTCAACTGTACTAATTTAGTTTTTGTTTTCTTGTTCAAAAAATAGACAGCTAGAAAAATATCTGAGAGCAATAGACAAACAATGTTGTGTTGATGTGGGAATCACTTATAGAGCATAATACAAAAATGCTTTGTACAAACATGTGTAGCTATGAGTTGAGCTTATACAAACAATAATAACCTTTATTTTTGAAACTTTATTTGGTGAACTCATGCTTACAGAAACAATAAACACTACCTTAGAAAACACCAACATGACCTTCGTTTGCAGTTCACTTCCCACTCTCCTTCATGTTTCTGGGGCTGTTGGTCACTTCAGTCGTCAGCTTCCTCATCCTCATCATCGGCCTCTTCATCCACCACAGAAGGTTACGTTGTTGTTGTTGTTGATGTTGCTGTTGTTGTTGTTGATGATGATGATGTTGCTGTTGTTGTTGATGTTGATGATGATGATGTTGCTGCTGTGGTTTTTAATGTTGTTGCGGTTGTTGGTCTCAACTGCGTCCACTCGTCGCCACTGCCCTTCATCGATAAACATATTCATCAACGATAAACACAATTTTAACAACGATTTCAACATTTATTAACAAAGAACGTTTATTAAATTTTGTTCTTGGCAGATGTCGCAACAGTCAGAGAGAAAGAGAACTTGGAGCGCTGAGGAAACCTTTGCTGGGTGACGAGGCAGACGAGTTGAAGTTCACAAAAAGAAATTCGAAAGCTCAATTGGAGGTCACGCCAGACATAAACTGTGTTGACGATCATCACAATCATTACGGAAAAAGACAATATAAAAACATTTCAACAAATAATAATAGAGATATAAATCATTCAAAAGAATGTGAAGTTGTCAATAATTTGAAAAACACGACTTGCTTATGTAGGAATGTTAATAATAATTTTTATTTCAAACGGACCAACAGTTCAAAAAGTAAACAAATAATTTCTGCCAAAATCAAGCGACATTTGTCTCTCTGAAACTTCACTCAGTTTCATGTGATGACAGATTTATCAGTTGTACACATACAAAGTTAAGTTTAACTGCAATAATGGAGAAACCTTTTCGTAATAAATGTCTGTCGAGATGCTTGTTGGACTAATGAAAAAAAATAATTTTTTCATTTTTTCAAGTGTTCACTTGAATCGAAATCAAATTGATTTATTCCGGCACATCAACATACCAACTAAACATTTATAATAACGATGTCTTCATCAACACAACTGATCAGCTAAAAACCATGCAATTCATTTTACAAGGTCTCATCATTTATTTTATGGTCGTACTATTTAAATGTTGGAAAGTTTAGTGAATTTTAAAATGTTGCAGGCATCGTTTAGTAATCGTTACGAACTGGTTCAAGTATTAAGGATTTCGTTTGTTTGTGAGTTGTTTTTCGAGTTTTGTGAGTTTTATGAAATCCATCAGCAAACATCTTCATGACTGAACACATCATACAATATTCATCAACAAATGAAGTTCCCAAGTCAGTTTTAATTGTTATTAATAAATACTTTTTGTATTGTGCTTACTAAAATTTTTTAAAAACATTTCAAGTCAATTTAAAAATTAAAATAATAGTTCAGGTAATAAATTTATTAAATGAGGACACGTGAGAAGAACTCAGAGGTGCAACTTTCCTGAATATTTTGAATCGGTGACTTTGATGTGGTGGACCAACCTGTGAGAGATAATTTTTAAGAGTAACTCAAACATAATAAAATGTCTTCAAAAAAGTTCAGCTTTCTTAATTAAGATTGAATGATGGCAGCCATTTCAATCCACAATCCTAAGCAAATATCAAGTAATTAATAACTTCATTTGCAACTGAATTCATGAAAATAATATTGCACACGACATGTGCGTGTATGTGTGTGTTCGTGTGTGAGAGCGTTTGTATTTGTGTGTGAGAGCGTTTGTATTCGTGTGTGTGTGTCTGTAAACGCATATCAATGTACCGATCCAAAAAAAATTGACAAACCAGTTTTTGGCCCACTGTACAGACTCTTGCGCCACAGGTGTCTTCAACTTCTTGAGTGAGGCGAGGAATTCATCGTGGTTATCCTTGTGCTCATCGTGTCCGTCAAAAGCTGCTTTCTTCATTTCACGCTGTCACAAAATATGTTGTGTGTAAAGTTGTGATTAAGTTTTGGGCATTCTCAAATCATTCAACGTTTCGGTCTTTAGTTTCGGCATGCATGTAGGTGGTTGGTTTTTAATGAATAAAAATAAAAAGTATTGTCGTGTGTGTGTGTGTGTGTGTGTGTGTGTGTGTGTGTGTGTGTGTGTGTGTGTGTGTGTGTGTGTGTGTGTGTGTGTGTGGCACAGCCAATGTTGTACTTAAGAATATTCAAGATTATTTAAAATGCGTCTAAATAATGAAAAATTAATAAAAAGAATCTTCATTTCAATTTTCAAATATTTAGAATTTCAATTAAGTACAATCAAAAGAGAATGAATAAAAGAAGTGACGAGCAGAAATGGAGCAAAATTTCGTTAATGACTGAGAGTACATACTTCCTCGTGGGCAAAGTGGCTGTCCATGAGTTCCACCAGCTTGGCGAGGACCCCACTATCGTTTGGAGTTTTGCCGACATCGAAGATCGCCTGGAAGAGGCCCTGGTGCTCTCCATCCAATTTGTCGTACTGAAGCGAACAGAGTTGAAAATGTTAATTATACCGTCGTAAAATGGTGTGGTTTAAGAAAGGTGATATTTTTGTTATGTTTTATGCCTAACTAATGTCATATAATAACAAGATTTTCAGAAACAGTACATAAATAAGCTACAAATCAACACAAACAATTTCAAAAACGTCATCTAGTAGAGAATTTTATTAAGGTTAAACTAGTATGTCAGCAAATTTGGCAGTTGTGTGAAGATAGTAAAAAAAGTTTCGACTATGATAAATTATTTTGTGATTTCATCGCATGAGAGCTGCAGAAATTTCTTGAAATTCAACACCGAAAAAAAACAACAGCAATGCCTGTAGGTCCGTTTTTATTTAAATAAATTTACAAAAATTTTGCGAAAGTAGTTAAAACTAGGTTTTATCACAAAGGCACGCTGTTGGCGAACGAACGTTATTTAAAAGGTCATTAAAGAGTTGAGGTCATTCAACAGCCTTTGACCTTTAACGGTTGAAATGATCATTAAAAATTCGTTTTTATAAATTCCGTAATGAATTAAATTAATGGAATAACAGTAAAATACAGAAAACTTCGAGAAGTAAAAGTTATAAAGTTTCCACCAATTGTCCTTTTGTGGAAGCTAAAAAAATATTGGCTCCGTTATTATTTATTTTGCCTGGTTCGCAAAAATGTATGATACATTATTTTTTGTTCGTCTCCTTTTTATTGCCATTCAAAAATATCAAAGACACAATTGCAATGCCTGCAAATAAATTTCTATTTAAACTTTTCATGAAAGAACTTAAACTTTTCAAACAAATTAAGCAGAATAAAAATGAAAACTCACAAAAACTTTGAAGGACTCATCCCACACAAATGGTTCAGGAATTGGATGACTCATATTCAGTGTTGACGGATAAAATGCTTTTCAAACAATTTATTAACTATTATTTTTACTAAAAAACTCAAGCAACACAAAGATATAAACGGAGAATGACCTTGCGAAGTTAGCAGAGTTCATATGGCTGTTTATATACATCGTCTGTGTGTTTGTTTGCACAGGCATTTGCACTATTCATCATACCACTACAGTAGAAAATATATTCATTCTGTATATTTATGCGTATTAGTAGCAGCGAAAGTTGTTTGCTATGATGGTTGGAACACAGGCGTTAGTGATGTTTGCAAGTAGGAAAGTATGCCGCTCTTTAACCTAACCTAACTGCAATTCGATAAACATGAAAAATTAATCAGTAAGTGTTATATAGTGTTAATTCAAAACTGATAATTGCTTAAACAAAGCTTGTGCTGAATATTTAATGGTTTTATTAAAAAACAAAACAATGAGAGATCGTAATACAAATCATTAAACGAACTCAGTAAAGTAATCATGGACATGCAAACATAGAGACACAGACACACAAAAAAACAGATATATTATATATATATATATATATATATTTGTGTGTGTGTGTGTGTGCAATTTAACTGCTTTATTCTTGCGTGCTAATCGTATTGAATTAATTGCATAAACAGCGAAATCACTTTTACTGTTTGCCCGTGTGCCTATGTCTGCATGTTTGCTAACTTCATCAAATTCAAGCTCAATAAAAAAACACGAATCAACACCTAGCTTTTTAAAATTCGTGTTTGATTCTTAAGGAAGATTCGAGATATAATTTAACATCGTCTGGAATTTTACCACAACATTTCTAGATTTTGGTTTACACTTTGTTTTATTTCAGGCTGATCCTTTTTGTAATCCTTTTTGATCAAGTTTAGCGAATAATTCTTTCATAAAGATGTAATCTAAGAAAATCTTCGTCTATTAACATTTTCGTTACATCAACTATCCATTAATTTCCTTCGATATCTTTTTATTCGTCGTAGTCGTCAAGCTTCATGCATATATTGAATTTCACTATTTTGAAGCATTCGTTAACTATTTTTCGTGACGTTGTCATAGATGAGTGTTGTGCATTTTTATGATATAACATCGTTACGAATCGATTCAATTCATTAAGTGCCGCACCCCTTGACTACCTCGAGAAAACATCGGACACACATCTCGACGTCACAAACGAACTTTAACATTATTTTTTAAAAATTGCATTGTTGGAGCTCGTAAATAACAGCAGCCAAAAAAATAAAATGGAACTCGAAACAAACAGACGTCGTTTGTCGCTGACAGAATATTTTCAATTTCAATCATGTTTGTTGCAAAAATATTTGGGCCAAAAACATTCTCAGAACTTAAGCGCATGACGGCTTAGTTGTCGCCATGTGCTGTTTAGCAGTACATGCAGAGACCGAGTTCGAGACAAAAAGACTTCCACCTATAACATACTTCGAGTATGACGTGTCGTTTAAAAGGTTGAAGGTCAATACACTCTTCCTGGGTTTAAAGGAATCAACCACACACTTATCAAGCATTCACATATGCAGTTTGTATCGTTACGATTCTTTTGAACCTAAGAAGAGTGTTTCAGACCATTTTCCTATTTTTTAACAAATAAAGACATTATTCATATACGCCTAGTTACGGAATTCGATGGTCCTAACTGACAGAGGTTTCAGTTAATTTAATGTGCAGCGCCTAAAACGCATTCTGGAAGCAGTAGATTCGGGAGATGGCAAAAAGTTTCGATTTAAAGCAACATTTAACGATATGATTAACACGGAAATCCCTGGACATAGTGACGCCAGAAAAATAAAACAATAAAAATCAATTAATTCGGTTTAAATATATTATATACGTACACATTTCCAAATGAATAAAAGTCATAATAATTAACTGCTGGTGCAAATTAAAATAATATTAATTATGTATTGAAGATGCTTACATAAAAATTTTCCTAAAATATTTTAATCACGCCACTTGTTATTTATTATCTTTTTCACTTTTGTCAGTCAATAACTTTTTTAAAGCTGAAGGTTTCAAAAAGCTAGTTAATGGTTCTTTGCTGTCAGTCGGTTTTGACGGGATTTGAAGGATGAAAACGTTGAAGTATTTGACAATCTGTTGCAGCAAATAAAAATTTACTTGATGTAGTAACTTGAATTTAATGAAGTGAACGTTGAATCTTAAAATTTCATTCAAGAACTGTAAAATATTACCAGAATTTAATAAATTTCAAAAGAGTGATTAAAAATCATGAAAACAAAAAAAGGATAAATAAAAAAAACAGATTGATAGACGGACGAGCAAATAAGTGAACATAGGTGAGCCAAAGAATAAAATCTTGATACTACCTTACGAACATCTTCAATATTTAATTTATAGTCTTTGGCAATATCTTCAACAGGGTACTTTATAGGATCAGTGAAATGTTTGCTCAAAAACTCCATGGCTTGTTTGATAGTCACATGTCCTTCTCTTACAGTTTCAGGTTCAAGATAACCAAATTCAGGGTCTTCTACTTTTGATCGATTTTCTGGAAGGTTCTTTTTAACTTTTTCTTTCGTTTTTATCTTGCATTGAATGAAACATATTTTTTAACAAATATATAAAACAAGCATATTAAAAATGCCCCATGAGCAATAGCTTCAGAAGCATCCAAACACTTTGAGAACTAAAAAATGACAAAAAAGTTGACAGAAACACAACATAATCAACGTAACCTGGAACGAACATCAAAACAGACTCAAATCAGAAACAAAATAAACCCAATATAACAACCAACCAACAATACAACTTCACAAAACCTCAAACAATTTGACTAGCATGTCAACCTCCTTATAAACAAACATTCACCTCTGCTATTTGTGGAGTGTTAACAACCATTCCTTTCAGTCTGTTATGGAGACTTTCATTTTTATCCATAATTTCCTTTTTCAGTTCATCTTTATTTTCTGTGAACAATTGTTAGTTCATCTATTAAAATAAAAAATTGTTTGAATCTCAGCAAATGACATAACATGGGTGACAAGATGGTGTAATGTTAAAGTGACTGGCACTGCCATCACAGTGACCAGATTCAATTTAAAATAAGATCCATGCCTATAACATGCAACTTGAGTGATGCCTTATTTCATGTGTATTTAAATGCACTGCATGTTTGTTGTTTAAACCTCTGAAAATAGTGAAAAGAGAGTTGTAATAAATAATAAATAAAATGAATGGTATAAACACCCAACTAAACTTCTCAATAATAATACAACTAAACTACAGCATGCTCTAAAAAAATTTCATTTCACGAAACTTCAAATAATGACAAAACTTTATAATTTATAGGTAATGTTTTAAAAATCATATCAAATCCTCAAAGAGTTATAAGAAACACTATGAAGATTGACTTATACCTAAAGGAATCATGATCCACATATGAACTTTTAGCTCATCAATTGGGAATTGCTTTCAAAGAATTGACCTCTATTACAAATGTTCACAATAGGGGTCAAAATAGCAAAACCTCAATGCATTTCAAATACTCAGAGGAAATGTGCCACATGAAAATAGCCGAGAACCTAGATCAGACTTGTCAGCATCTCCATGCTCAGTCATTGGTCTTTAAGCTTATTTGAAGATGTGGTTTTATTTTTATGCCCAAGGATGCAACGTCATCATATGTCATATTACTTACAGTTACAATTACTATTAAATTACATTACATTACATAACATATAACAACTACCTACATTAACATTACTTTCTTCTAGAGTACATTTTTAATTTATTTATGATAAAAACATGAATAATAACAGAATGACACATAAATGTACTTTAAGACACAAAATAAACCTGAGATGTAGGATTGAATTTGATCGACCGATGATGGGTGCAGTGGGGCGGTCTTTGGTTTGTTGGACTTTTCAACAAGTTTGTGGGCTCTGTGCTCCACTGCAACATTTTGAAGAGGTCGCTTGATCAAAGTTGACGCCACTTTCCCCATCGTGTGACACGCTTACGAGCCAACAGACAGACCAACAGAAAATGAATCGGTGAAACCAGCAAACGCAAAACCTGGCCTCTGACCTTCTTCAGTAACTTCGCAGTCGGCTTTTGCTGACAGTTTGCATCAAATTTTACTTTTAAAAAAACGTGGGGTAAGATTGTAAGAAAATTATGTAATTGAAATTATATGCCTAGAATCATATAATTAGAATAAATATAACGGCCTTCGCTCATTTTTGGCGGTCGAACAAGGAGCTTACTTCCGGAGGAGAATTGGAGGGTGATTTTTTATCGCCCAAGTCAAAAGTTACGATTGTATATTTACTAATTTCGGAATATTGCTTTTATTTGGAATGTTTTAAAAGGTGATACTAGATGCTGTTTTAGGATAGATACTGCGGTATGACGGTTAAATATCTTTTTACAGTTTAAATGAAAGTTTTTTGTGAACCACTAACACTTAACTGTTAACATTATTTATAACAGATTAACTCATTAAGATTAACTGTAAGTAACAACACTAACGACGACTAATTAGTAATTAAATTAAATTACTAAACTCTAATAATTAAGCTAAAACTAAATTTACTAATTCTGATTACTAATTAAAATAAATAACAGATAACGATAACACTAACGAACATTAACAGATTAGAGACTAGACTAGACTAGACAGAGACTACCAACCACTACACTACTACATACTATGACTACTACAAGTACTACACTAACAGCACTTGTTCCTAAAATCCTAAATCCTATTGCTTGATTGGTTTTAAAATTTTTATTTATAATGCTTAGGCCTGAGAATAAAAAATATACTAAATTAAACAAATATATTAAACAACTTATCAATTTTGTTCAATTTAAGCTTCAAGCTCCTCAAGCTAACATTGCAATTTAATTAAAATTTATTAATTATGATGTGAGTGATTCAAACTAAATTTTTTTTCATTTAATGTTTTACAAAATATTCCTCATTCGTAAATTGTAGTACATGTTGTTATTAAATTTATTGAAGATAATGTGTCATTCCAGTGATTCATCAATCCATGACTTATTAGATCATGATCATTCAGTTTTAAAGAATCCCCATCACCATAACATAACCAATGAGGTTTGTAGAAATTGTACTTTTAATTTATTATATTTTATGCAGTTAGAATGTTGTGTTATTAATTATTATCATTAATTTATTAAATGCTGTGCATACCTATGGCAAGTAAATAAAATGATTAAGCATAGAAATAACCATAATCAAATTAATTTATATAGGCATGTGTATAATTTGGATAATAATAATTAAAAAATTAAAAATATCAGTATCATTGAAAATGGATAGTCATAAATAAAAAAGTAAATCATAAATTGCTAAAAACAATAGTTCTAGTAAGATTTTGCCATACATCTACATCTTGTTTTCATTCTTACATTATAATAAATGTTTGTTATCAAATATATCAAGGACAATGAGTGATTTCATAATCCATGACTAGATTGAATGTCATGATCTTTCAGTTCTAGAGGATCCCCATCTCCATTAGTCAATAAGGTTTGTAGAAATCACCCCAGGCGTACCATCAATGTTTTGTAGCCACCTTTTAATGTAGTGTTAATAAAATGTCATTGAGAATAGTTATTTAAAACAATCTTATTGAAATTATTGAACAGGTATGACAAGATTACTTTCTTAATGTCCTAGTGTGAGGAAGATATAGGCTATTTGTCGGAAGATAATCATATGCCTTAGGCTCATACAAATGCAGTGTCAATGCGAATGATTTTTGATCAGAGTCATATGTTCTAATTTTTTTAAACTTTTCCAGAAATTTTTCTGTTAATTTATTACTTACATTAAATACTAGATGTGTATTTCATATAAAAAACTTGATTATGCCAATTTAGTTAACTTGTTAAGCATTAATATAAAATTGACTCTACTTGTAATGGTGATTGGTATGATGATGATGATCCCAGTCCTAAGCAGGGTTTATTATCCACAATGTCATTATGCCTTAACTAAGTTTTAATAAATAATAATAATAAATTAATGATAAATACATGGGAAATATTGTTGAATGCATTTTATATTTTTTGTATAGATAAGAATGTTGCAATGTACAATGATGATGTGAATTGCTTCCTTGTGTAACTGATGACATATAAATATAAAACATGGGGATTCTTCCTTCAGCATTACTTTCCTTTCTCCGCCATAGCCCTTATAATAACAATCTTTATTACAGAAATGGTCACTGCATATTTTTGCATTTTTTGATGGAAGCCATTTGCAATCATTTATTTCCTGTCTGATGCACTTAATGTTAATCCAATCGTTTTCCATTTCTACATTTTGAGGAAATCTAAAATTTTATAAACTGTTACAGAAACTTGTGCATTTCTTAAGTATTGCTTTTAATAATAAAATGGTAATCCATGATAGCATTATAAATTATAAAATAAAATATATGTAATTGTAAAATGGTTCTATTCAGTGAGAATAGGGATAGTTGTTACATTTATTTTAGTGTGAAGTTAAATTTGGAAATAAACCTGTGAAAAGATGCATCAGAAATTTTCTTATTTCTATCAATATCAATGATTAATTTAATTTTAATATTAATATTAATAATGCAATTTTCAATGCAACAGTAGGCATATTATATTTGTATACCTACGAAAATGGAAAAATAAATGATGATATAAAAATTTAAACATTGATTGAAAGAATTTATTCAGTCAGAGAAATTAACAGGACAAAACCGAAAAGTAAAAAAGCTTCGATTAACACCATAAAAAACAATTTTTAAGTCATTGAAATTTGTAACAAAATTTTAATTTTTTTAATTGTTATTTAATGTGATAATCAATTATTTTTATTTGGTATAAATTTAAAAAAATAAGTTGAAAAAATTGAGGTTCTTTGCATATCTCTGCTTCAACCTAATGGATCCTATATGATAACAAACGACGTTCAGCTCAGTGGTTGGACCATGATGAAAGTCCAAACACTTTTCCAAGCCAAAATTGTACCAAAGAAAGTTAATGGTGACAGTTTGGTGGTCTGCAGCTGGATTGATTCACCATAGCTTTTTAAAACCTGGTCAAACGATTAATGTAGAGTTGTACTGCCAACAAATTGATGAGATGCACCAGAAATTACGCCAACTACGTTCTACATTGGTTAACAGAAAGGGTCCGATCCTTCTCCACGATAACGCCAGGCCACACGTCGCACAACTAACGCTAAAAAAATGAACGCGTTGGGTTACGAGATTCTCCCTCGCCCCCCATACTCACCAAACCTCTCACCAACAGATTTCCACTTTTTCAAACACATCAACAACTTTTTGCGTGAAAAGTGCTTCAAAACCGAAGAAGCTACAAAAAATGCCTTACTACAGTTTGTCGCCTCTAGAACCCCTTGTTAGTACGAACTTATGCTACTAACAAGACACCTTGTTGTGAGTTAAAATAAATAAAACAAACACAATTCAGGCGTAATGAAATATTATCTTTATTCCCACGTGAATCTCGAACCGTTTCGTTTACAAGCTCCCTGGAAAAAAAGGAAGAAGTCGAGAGAGAAGCAAAGACATAAAAATTAACATAGATTAGGTAACATTGAAAATTGCAATAATCTTTAAAAATAATTAATACATAAGATAGTTAATAAATGAATGTTTGATCCCTACAATACTACCACACAAAAGGCGGAGCCGTTTAAAAATAAAAATATTCATTTCGTTTGTTGAATGTCATTCGCCTCCCTTTTCTGGAGTGTTGGGTTGTTGGTTCCGATGTGGTTGACGTCGGTCATGTTTCTTGTGTTGTTGTTGCGCCTGATGTTGTTGTTGCTGTTTCTGGTGTTTCAGTAGATTTTGTGTCTGATGTTGCTGGTTTTGTTGAATCTGTTGTAGAAAGTTTGTTATTCGTTGTCGAACTATTCTTGTTGTTTATTCCGGTTTTGGCTGTTAGAGGTAATGATAAACAAGCTGGCTTTTGGGGTGAGTGATGTTGATTGTTAGTTGTTAGGTAGTCATTAAGTTTAAACATTTCTTTTGCTAGTTGTTTGATTTGACTAGATGTTATATCTTCATTTGAATCTGGGAATAAAAATCGACTTGGTAATAATAAGTTGGTTCCTGTTACTGCTATTGCTGGAGATATTTCATTTTCACAATATTCCCCGCAAGAGGTGGAGCCATTCAAATGGAAAAATGTTTGTCTTTTTATTTGAATTTGAATTTTCCACTCTTCTTTGAAGATATGGTTATTGGTACTGATATCGCTGACGTTTAACTAGTTTCTTGTAATGATGTTGCTTTTGTCGCTGATAATGTGGTTGACATTTTTCTTGTTTCATGAGATGATGATGGCGTTGTTGCAGAAAACGTTTTTGTTGCTGGTTCAAATTCAAATTTGATGTAATTACGATAAGAATGTTCATTTTCGTTATTTATGATGTCATCTATATTGCTTTTGTGGTGATGAAAGCAAGCATTAATGGCCAGCAGCTTAATGGACGAAAGCAATAATAATATACGCAAATGAAGCGAATTTAATTAGTCAAATTAATTCGCGAATTACAAAATATTTAGTTTAAAAAGATTAGCAAGTTTTTGCATCATAAAATGATATCTGAATAAAAAAATTATTTTAGCAAAGAGATATTGTTTTAAAAAGTTTGTTGATGTTAATATAAAACAAAAACCATTATCAGTAAACATTCTTCACATCACTCGAATTAATCTTTTTCAACTGCTTAGTCAAATTAATTCGCCAGTTACAAAATATTTAGTTTAAAAAGATTAGCAAATTTTTGCAACATAAAATGAAATCTGAATAAAAAAATTATTTTAACAAAAAGGGCATTGTTTTAAAAAGTTTGTAGATGTTAATATAAAATAGACACCATTATCAGTAAGCATTCTTCGGCTTATAACGACAAATACAACAACGGAAAGTTATAAGTCTACGCACAGGAGATACCGTGATCAAGAAGGCGGTTCTCCGAGGACGAGATCCAACCATTGCACTGAGGTTGGATTGAGTCTGCGATTACCCCAAAAGTGGGTAAATCGATGTCCAATTTCTGATAGTGGGAGACTGCGTTTGCGCTATTTCCCTAATCACCAATTAAAAAATAAAATTTGTTGTTAACGTCATTGTTGTCTTTTTTTGTCAAGATCATTACGTCTCGAATGATGATGTAGATATGACAATCTGAATAGATGGGAATGTTTTAAACCAACGTTTTACAATCACAAAACTTATTGCGTGTTTGGAATTTATTGTATAACTATTATATAGCGATTATGTAATAACAGGTTAAGTTTAATTTTTTATAAAATTAAATTTAATATACAGTACATAATTATCGTGTGTGTGTGTATATTTGTGTTTGTGAGTGTGTGTGTGTGTGGCCATTCGATAATTACGTCACGCTGGGATGAGGAAGAGAGGGGGTTTGTCCAGCGTGACAGTGTGTGACAGGTCATTAAAAATTCACATAGTATGAATATTCATAAACATGTATATTTGTTAACCTAATGCGTACGTAAGCATATTGTTTTTATGCTGCTGCCGAAATGCCGATTAGAGGTGAGCATGGGAATGGAAACTTTGGGGAATAGGTAATGATGGACTGGAATGGGAAAATGGGAAAAACAGCATGCACATGCCCAAATTTGAAAAATTATTTTTTTGATAAAAATGTCAGTTATCTAATTAATCTACGCAACTCTACACGTGTGTTTTAACAAAGAAGATAACCACGTGCAAACAATGGAAAAATAAAAAAATTGTATGTATATATAAATATATATATATAATTATTTTATATATATATATATATATATTTATTTATTTATTTACAAGTACACATGTGATCGAGACATACACATTCACATACGTACACACGTGTGCGTTAACAATGAAGATAACCACGTGCAAGCAATAGATCTATGAAGAAATTTCATGTACAACATCTACGCGCAAACATATGCTCGGCTGCACTCGACACACACACACACACACACACACACACACACATTGTGGTCATTAAAAATTCACATGGTATGAATATTCATAAACATGTATATTTGTTTAAAATTGTTTTAATTGTTATAATTGTAATTTATTATTGTTGCTTTAATTATTTTTAGAGGTTTTGGATTTTTATTTTGTTTGGTACTAAATCCAGCGCCTCTGACGCTATGCATAGGGCGCTCATAAATGACATTATTATTATTATTAAATCCATGTTAATTGTGAATTCGTGAGTGAATCGGGAATGACAAACAAAAATGGGAGAGAATTGGGAACAAATTTCAATTCCCACTCGCTTTTAGTGCCGATACGTTCCAAAGTACCAGGTCGGGTTATGTTCGATATTTAGGCAGAACATTATTGCTGCCATTTTAGTTTTAGATATTTTAGATAATCTATGCACGCAATATAAACAATTAAACAAATGTTCAATTTTAATATTAAGCAACAGAAAATAAAACGCCTAATTTCTTTCTGTACAGGATTGAATATAGACAATGCTGGCAATGATACACACATTTCATTGGTTACAACGGAGCAACATCTGGCAGCAGTGTGGACCGAACTGTAAAATTAGCCATGAACATGAACTTGATCGTTACGAGACATTTTTATTCTGATTTAAAACATTGTACTTATGTCGTGATGTTATCTCTATAATATATTAATAATAGATTACAGGTCGTGAATTAGGGGGGATCAGCTGAGCGTGACAGGGTGTGACAGGGAAGGGGTGGAGGGGTTAAAAATGGTATAAAACCGTGACATAATTATTGAATGGCCTCTTTGTTTATTTGTTCCCAATTCCCTCCCATTTTTGTTTGTCATTCCCGATTCCCTCCCGAATTCCCATTCATGACAACGTTTCCGTTTTCTTTTGTTTAACTCATTTCCGCGTTTTCCTTCCATTTCTCTTTTTTACATCCTTCCATTTCTTTTTTTTCCATTTTGCTAATTTTCGAACACCTAAAACAATTTTTTCAAAAAAGTAAATATTAAGAACATGTCTTTAGTACCAAACAAAATAAAAATCGAAAAGCTCTAAAAGTTAATAAAACAGCAATATTAAATTAGCAGTTCATATATATATCCTTGAAGTTAACTAACTTCATGAGAAGTTAACTAACTTCATGACGTATATTCATAAGCTCATGCAAATTCATTCGCAATTACTGCTTTGTTTCTATCCCCTTGTCATTATCAACTCTCACTATCATCATTTTTTCCCAAATTTCATAATTACAATAACTAAAATTATCATTATCGCAACTGATAGTATCAGTATCATAACTAAAACTATCATCATCACCGCAAAAAGATACTGCTTTGTCAGCTCCTCGTTTAATTATTCTAGCTCATGCGTGTAACTAAATTTTTTTAGGTAATTTTCAAGAAATTTATAAACATTTAGCCATAAAAAATTAAAAAACAATAAATTCAAACCAAAAAATCAAACTTTTACAAAATAGTAAATTACAATCATACCTATTAAAAACATTTTTAGACATTTTTATACTAATTACCATAAGATGCATATAGATGCATTTATGAATGAATGAATTTCATAAATTCGAATGAATTTTACAAATTCATAATCACAAATCTAAGTTCATCCAAGTTTCCCGAAACGATTTTTAAAATATTTAACAGGGCACGTGGCATTAATGCACTGTTTGTAAGTAAATGAATGAATGAATTAATGAATGAATTAATGAATGGATGAATGTATCTATGTGAAAGATTTGTAACAATAATCTGTTTATAAACGGTGTTTTTAATTTTGAAGTAAAAAAAAACTGTTTTTCGGGGTCGAAACATTTATATATAGTACATAATTATCGTGTGTGTGTTTATTTGTGTTTGTGTGTGTATGTGTATGTGTGTGTGTGGCCATTCGATAATTACGTCACGTTGGGATGAGGAGAGGGGGTTTGTCTAGCGTGACAGTGTGCGACAGGTCATTAAAAATTCACATAGTATGAATATTCATAAACATGTATACTTGTTAACCTAATGCGTACGTAAGCATACTGTTTTTATGCTGCTGCCGAAATGCCGATTAGAGGTGAGCATGGGAATGGGAACTTTAGGGAGTAGGTAATCACTGTTCGGGAATCGGAAATGATGGACTGGAATGGGAAAATGGGAAAAACAGCATGCACATGCCCAAATTTGAAAAATTATTTTTCGGATAAAAATGTCAGTTATCTAATTAATCTACGCTACTCTACACGTGTGTTTTGACAAAGAAGATAACCACGTGCAAACAATGGAAAAATAAAAAAATTGTATGTATATATAAATATATTTATATAATTATTTTATATGTATTTATATATATACATAAATTTATCGATATATATATATATATATATATCAACATCACAGTCAACAACTATAGTAACCAAAACAACACCTACTACAAAAACGCCAATATTAACAATAACAATACTACTAACAGCATTCACAACAATAATAATAATAATGATAAAGATATTATTCTATATTACCGCAACATCATGTCCACTTCATATAAAACAGATGAAAACATTTTAAGAAAACTAATTTACAACAATATCAAACCCGTCAATCCCAATTGCAAAGTTAAGTTAAGAATATATTATAAAAACGCCAAAACATCACACATGATAATCAAAAATAACTGTCAACCCAACAACAATTCCATCATGAAAAATAGTCATCTTATATATAAATTTTCCTGTCCCATTGGTAACTGTGTGCACCAAACTTCTTTATATATAGTAATGACCACCACTCAACTTTCTCGTTGACTTACCATGCACAAAAGAGAGGGTGCGATCAAATCTCATATAGAAACGACACATAATACAACATTAACACGTTCAATTCTTGACAATAACACAAATGTTCTTTACAAAAACTCCGATTATTTCACCTTAAAGATAGCCGAAGCCATATTAATAGAAATAAAAAATTCAAAATTAAATGTTCAGCTACAAAGTTTAACAGTACTTCCGACTCACAAGCAGTTATCTAAACTAATTAATAATTCTCTCACCACCAATAATAACAATAACAACCACGTTACCACCACCACCACCACCAACAACCATGTTACTACCAACAACAGTGTTAACCATGTTAGAGATGCCAACGACCATGACCACAACACCAACAATAATGTTAATAATTGCAACAACAACACCAATACAAATGTTAACAACAACAACATCATCATTGTCAATAACAACAACAACAATAACAACAGCAACAACAACAATAACAACAGCAGCAGCAACAATAACAACAACAACAATAGTAATAATAATGATAATAACAATAATAACAACAGCAATAACAACAACTACAACAACAATAGTAATAATAATAATAATGATAATAACAATAACAATGATAATAATATAAACTTGGAAACATGAATGTTGTAGTATGATGATATGGCTGATTTTTGTTTTTTATTTGTTGATTTACTTTATGGTGTTTTTTCAGCAATTTTAAAATTTTAATTTATTTTGTTTAATTCTAATATATATCTATGTAAATAATTTTAAGTTAATTTTATCAATATGTTAAATATATAGTATATAATAATTAATAATAGTATTTTCAAAAATGTTTCACGCTTAAAATTAAGTTATACGGTCATTTTTATTCGTTATTATTTAAAATATTTTGCACTGAAAATGATATATTTTATATCGAAAAAGCTTCCTGTAATTATTTATTTATTTTAATAAACATGAACAATAATAATTTTAGTTTTTTACTTAATAAATTAAATATCTATAAAAAAATTTTAATTAGAAAACTTAAAAAATTAATGTATAAATATAATAATTGTATTAATGAGGTTGATTTTCTTAAAAACTGTATATATATATATATATATATATATATATATATATATATATATATATACAAGTACACATGTGATCGAGACATACACATTCACATACGTACACACCTGAGATGTAGGATTGAATTTGATCGACGGATGATGGGTGCAGTGGGGCGGTCTTTGGTTTGTTGGACTTTTCAACAAGTTTGTGGGCTCTGTGCTCCACTGCTCCATCGCTTGATCAAAGTTGACGCCACTTCCCCCATCGTGTGACACGCTTACGAGCCAACGGACAGACCAACAGAAAATGAATCGGTAAAACCAGCAAACGCAAAACCTGGCTTCTGTCCTTCTTCAGTAACTTCGCGGTCGGCTTTTCTGACAGTTTGCATCAAATTTTACTTTTAAAAAACGTAGGGTTAGATTGTAAAAAATTATGTAATTGAAATCATGCCAAGAATACATTTAGAATGGAATAAAATAGAATAGAATAAAATAATTTTGCAGCGCAGACAAAGTTTCTTGCCATTATAATGATAACAGTTTTTAAGAATAAATAATTCTATAATTAAAATGTTTGGTAGAAAATGTTCAGTTTAGCTGTACATCTTTTCTCTCTTTTGGTTTGACATCTTTACTTCCAGGTATAGAATTTACTCTGCTGTATACAAGAAAATAAAATATTCAAATAAAACCATATATGTGTATTTCAAGTATTTGACATATATGAAATATATGAATCTGTTTGGTACTTCATACCAACATGGAAGAAAACTCAGACTGCCTTCACTTACGTGGGTTTACTTTTACTCAAAAAAAGTTTAGAAATCGAAAGACAGGACTTCAGATAGCAGGATGGTAGTTTGAAGTTTTGTAATTATGTGCAAATCTATATTTATTTTTTAATTGCCCTTTTCTTTAAATCAAAATTTGGCAAATTGTTTTATAAATTTGAAATATTTTATTAATGATTGTAACAAAAATCAAAGCAACACTGCTCTAGTCTACTCTCTAACAACTAAAACTAAGTCAGTCTAAAGTCTAAAACTAAGTTTGTTCAACAAACGTTCCCTAACCCTGACACTAACCAACTCACAAATATTACTAAAAATCATCATAAACCTAAAATTATTTATTATTTCATTTAAATTTAAATAAAAACATTTAATACACTTTTAATTTTTTCAAAATGAATTTAATGACACATTCTAATCACCATAGAACACGGCTTGCAGCCTCCTCAAAAGCAGCAAAACTCTCATTGTTGCTACCAGATTAACATCCAGCTTTAAGTGGTACCAAATTCTCAAAGAGGTATTTTGAGTTTTGTTTTTGTTATTTTTTCAAATGTTTCATTAACTTGTAAAGTTGAGTTTGTTTGCACACTGATGATAGGGCAAGCTGGCATTCTTCTAATTTATAAGACACAGCACAGTGGAAAGAGATACCGCATTTCATTATCCCATCATTATCTGAGCCCCAATAGATAGTTTATTCAGTTTATGATAAAAGTTAATTAAAGATTTTCACATTCTAAAGTAAATCAGTGAAACATGAAGAAAGTGCCAAACACTCATTGCATTGTTCATTTTTTGATTGTTCCATTCAGCCTCAGCCATGCGACATTCACACCTCAAAAGATGGCATCCCAGTCATCAAACCACCAGAGCCAACGCTGACTGAAGTAATTGAATCTAGGGATCCAGAGGAGTGGAAGCATGTGGAGAAGTTGTTTCCTCGTGCCACCGTCCCTGACCCTCCTGTCCACACATCCTACCCAACACCATCCGGATGGTTCCCACCAAAAGGTTGTCTCAAAATATAATTTGTTGGTATCCATTGTATTACCTATTTAGAAAGGTTTTGTAGTTAATATTTGATAGCTGCCTGAAACACTCCGGTAATATGTAAAGGTATTAGATTACTCCTTGATCACATAACAATTCACCTTATTTTGTTGCTGGCACTTTAAAAACAACACCCACAAAACTTTCATGATACACTATATATATCAAACAGATCCACTGCCAGGTGAACTTTACAGAGTGAGAAGAACTCGCTTCCACAACTTTCCACTGTACAAGGTCACATTGAATGGAGGCAACAGACATTTCACAGTTGTACACAAAGTTGAAGGAGATATAAAGGTTTAACCTCTCTGCTGCTTCAATTAGTAACAATTAACTTTACATCTGTCATTTACAAATGTATCCCTGCAGAAATTTGATGAAGAAGTCAAAAAATATCTGAGCAAAAAGACCAACAATAAAATATACACAACAGTCAATGAGGTTTGTTGCAAATTGTGGATCAGAGGACTCCATCTGGAAAATGTTTCTCAATTTCTTACAGATAAAGGATTTTAATCTATTTATTTACAACATAGTTTAGATTAGAAAAAATAATAAATGCAGTTCACAATTTTTTTAATTTTTGAGAATTTCAACAACTGGCTGACAAAATTCTTGAGGCTACTAAATGAGCAGGCATAAATAAGTAAGTGTTGGCTAACCTGGCACTTCTTGTTGAGTCATTTTATATTTAATGTGATCGTTTGAAAAGTTTAGATCAAGTCGAAAATGAAGAAGATGATTCAATGCAATTAAATAATTGTATTTTAAAACAAACAATAAAATAAACGTAGCATTACATTTTAAACAAATTAAACAGCTAATGTTGATCACGTAAGACCGGCTCTCCTCAGTATGGCTGCATGTGGTTGGTTCCTCCTGGCATGAACCAACTTTTTCTTTTTTAGATAGAATGGTTTGTCCAGGTAGAACCAATTGATATCTCGTTTCGGTAATTCACATTTCCCGCCATAATACAGCCTTTCAAAATCAACCTGTTCAACAAAAACAGGTTTATTTACTGTTCACTTTGCTTAGTTTTGTTCCTACCTCCCACGTGTGCAGCATTTGACTATCCCCCATTTGTCATTAATAGAATATTTTTCACACATTAAATGTTCCAATATGGAGATGCAGAAACCATAAAAATTTTTAGATGGGTGAAAGCAATTAAAAGCATAGCGAAAATGCTTCAACAATCAAGGCATGGCAAGCACAAACTTCAAGGTCTTCAACTTCATCTTCAATTGGCTTCTTATTAGCAGGAGTTGAAGGTGAAGCAATCAGACGAGGGAAGTAATCCTCCTCCTTCTTCATCTCGACCACGTGGTAGCCCATTCTTTCTGCCAACTCTGCATGGGTCTCCTGTCACGTTGTACGTCATTACATTACATACATTAAAATTACTTACAATTGTTTAAGGAAGAGTATGTTCAGTAAGTAAATGGATGCTGCGTTGCGTGGTTATTCATCTGCAATAAATTGATACAAACCTGATGTGTAACCGCATCAAAAAATGCCCTTGTAACACTTTGGACATTTTTTGTGCTATTTTCAACTTTGCAGTGCAAATCTTTGATGCCCAGCAAGTCACAAATTGTCTTCAATACTCTGTGGCACCTCAGACCATAACCTGGAAAAGGAATCAAACAGTAACAAGCTTCATTTTCGATGTTGGTCAACAGTTCAGTTGGTGTGGTAAGAAGGCCAGGTATCATGTTGCTGTTGCAGGCTGCCTCAGTTCAAATGTTGTCTCACAAGCTTCAATGGCTACCACACAATATGCCAACCATTAGCTAGGTGATGTGGCTGGACATGTAGACTTTGTAGCACATCCTCAGTAATGGAAGAATTGTAAGTAGATTTGCTTTGCAGGAGATGCATAATTAAAGCCAAAAAAAATGAAAACGAGTTTACTGCATCACTTTCATTTATATTACTGATGAATTTGCTTGATGAATGATATATTAACTTGAAAGGTTTGCAAAATACTTGATACGAGGAAAACTAAGTGAACCAACAAAAATATAATAAATTTATATTACAACTAGCATGACAATTCCAAAACAACATCAACCTCTTTCCTTCTTGTGAATGAATATTTTGGACCTGTGGTATTGAGCGAACATGTTGTGGTAGACTGTGTGATCCTCAAACCTCGGCACGTACACCAGCTTCTGGGCTGCCTTATTTTTGGCCTGGTACATTTATAATGATACTACAGGTAATTGGCGACAGTAAACATCATAAATATTTCTATTTTGTAATTATCAATCATCATCTATCAAATGAGAATCTTTATTTACGTTCTTCATCATTTTTATCATCGTATCGTTGTCAATAAACATAAACATAAAGAAATAATGGACGCGAAGAACATATGCCCATATCTAAATGAAATAAAATGTTATTATAACATCATTATATATGATGACTCTTCAAAATCGTTGTCAATAATTCACTCACAACTCTGATGGCAGCCTTTGCATTTAGTGCCTTGCCCAACCCATAGCCTGCAATGAAAGCATGAAGTGCTAGATGAAGTAAATTGAAACTGCAACAAATGTGGATTGAATGTGATGGTGCAAAGATAGTTGGCAAACAAATCATTTTAACTGCTGGTGTAATTGATCAATTGGTTGGTTAGTTGGTTGGTTGATAGGGCTGATGAGGAAATTCAAAGTTGTTATCATAACAAACTACATCTTGAAAACTTTGATTGTTAATGTGATGAAATAGTGAACAGAAGACTTGGAAACATTAAGATGGAAAAATGAGTGACTGTGCGAGCCAATGACCTGCTACTCCGTTTTTGTTGCCAGTGACAACAAATGCAGAAAACCTCATCTTCCTGCCTAGGGTGCCTGTCATGTTGCATACTGTCTTGAACTGGAAGTCAGTGGATGGATGGTCAGATGGATGGATGGTCAAATGGATTGTTGGTTGGATGGATGGATAAACAGACGGGAAAATGTGTGTACATGAAATTATTCATTTACAGTTTAATCAATTTTATTTTCTGCCTTATTCGCATGAAATTAAAAATATGTACAAGCCATTTAATGACAAGCAAACTAAATATTGAAAATAATAACGGTGATGTTTATAATCACTGGGAACAATTTTGAGATTCGCTGGAATGAAGATAATCTTGATGATGAAGATTTTAAATTGAAATGATTGAATAAATTTGAACTGACCTCAAGGACCCTCGTGTCAAAATCATCAAATGTATCTGTAGAATTTGTAAATTATGTTGAATGCGTGACAAGGGTTGGCTAATTTGAATGTCTGTCAGCACATATATACAAGGCTTGTGAATTGTGCAAATCAGGCATTCCATTACAAAACATTCAGATATTATTATCCACAGTTTGCTTTCCAATTCGAAGCTTTCATGTTTTGAAAACAAAAATTTTTTAATAATGATTCATTGATATATCAAATACATTTTCCTTTTGTTGTTCTTTACTTCAAGAACAAAGTGAATGGGACAAAATTTAAATAAGAAACATAACAAAATGCTGGAACTCACAGTCAGCAACGGGGTCAGGAGGTCCCACACTCTGACCATTGAACTTTGACCCTGAATAACCTCTCAGTAGGGGAGGCAGTGCTGGATATCGAACCTTAATAACCAACAAAGATTCACTATTGTATTGTTTGTTACCAAGATATTTTCAGACAAGAATAGAAAATAAAATCATCTCATGCTCTACATGGGTAGTAGAAAGTTTCCATATTTTGTCATGAAACAACTAGGCTTTATATTGATATAGAGAGATTTACAAAATGATAACATGAAAAACGTTTAAATTTAGACAAAATAATTATTTAAGAATTATTGATAATCAAACATTATGAAAAAGTAAAAAAAAAATAAGACAGAACCTTGCTCATTTGATCTCTCATTCTAACAATCTCTTGAGCTTTTTCTGGATCAGGTGGAAGTTTTTGCCTGGAAACAATGGCCTTCCCCTTCAAGATGGGACTGTTCAGACCAGGCCACAACATGTTCTCACGACCTGTGGAATGAAATGATTGCTGCTTCATTCAAGAATAGGTCAGTTGTTTGAATGTTGGATTGATGAAACAGATGAAAACCTCACCAGCGCCAATAGTCTGTCCCCTGTTCAGATCGGTGACCTTCTTCCTGCCAACTCTTTTGCCTCTCCCTTTTTTCTTACCAGCATTACTGACACTCACAACACCTTCCCACAAATCTGACGCAGGCACTGGTAATGAATAAATAATTGACAGAGTTTTAAGGATGAGCAAATTGTTTCTCAGGAGTGTCAAATGCATATATAATATATTCAAAAATGAGGAAAAAAGAATCAAAGAATAATTTGCATAATAAGCAATTTAACAATTTCAAGCCAAATTGAACAATACAATCATTGAATTAAAAATACAAATGAATATATTACAATAAGAAGAAACCTTGGGTCATAAAACTGGAATTTCTTTTCTGTGTAAAGGCGCTGCATTGGACTGTGGTGCATGTCTTTAATAACTGAGCACACAAGTTTGACTGTGTGGCATCTGTTGTAATAAAAATAATTTTGTAATATGAGAATGATCAATTGAATTGAATTGTTCTAAAATCTAAATTCTAAACTAATAGATTAGTGTTAGAGTAAAATAATTTTTATCATAAGAAGTTAGATGAGTTTTAATTTTGCATGATTTATGAATGATGTGATCTGTGATGAATTACTAAAAAAATTATATAATTAATTTTAATTAAATTAATATATATAAATTTTCTAAGCATAAAATTATTAGGTAAACCAAGAAAAATATTTATAATAAATTTTTTTTTCAACTTAAAATTCAAACTATTTTGCTATTAATTTTTTTATTATTTATTAATAATTTTTTCGTTTTTTTTCAATAATTGAATTGAAATTATAATATAAAATTTAAGATATTATAATTATAAAAAAAATATTTTGTTGTTACCTATTTGAATAATTCTCCGTACAGAGGAAATAGCAACTTTCCACATTATAAAATCAACAGTTCAGATTTATTCAACATTTATTTGAAAAAATTTAAACTGTATTTATATTTTTAATAAATTCAACTTTCAATGCCTCGACTACGAAAAATTAAAACTAAAAGTGCATTCAGAATTTGGTTGACAATAGAGGGTGGGAGAGCAGAAAGGGTGAGTCAAATAATTTTATTGCAATCAATCATCCGTTTATACTGTATGTTCGTCATCATTTTCAATATTATCTAAAGATGAAGAAAATACTGTTGTTTTCTTCATTTCATCTGAAAGGAGAGAACTTTCATTCATCTTTGAATGAAACGTGAATGGGATGGAATTTTGCTGTTTTTTTCGTTACTTTTTAATCTCAAACACACATTCGCCCAAAGACAACAATCACAGAGATATCATACGTACGTGTCATATATGGAGACGACAATAAAATACATTATGTTTATTTGTTATTTATTTATTCATCCATTCATTCCATTCATGGATATAGGAATCAACATGAACATTTATTTGAAAAAATTCATCAACATTTGGATTTGTTTTTTAAGTATATGGATTTTTAGTTATTTATATATTATTATTGCTATTTATTTTTTAAATATTATATATAAACATGCGGTTATATATCATTAAATTTGGTTTGGGTATGTTATGATGTTGAAAGCAAATATTCCTTTGTATTGTAAACTTTGGGGTGTTGAAAGATTCTAGTTTAGGACATATGCACAGGAATTACATCTTAATTTAAAAATTATTAGTTGATTAATTTATTTATATAACAATATAAAATAAATTGATTGTGATGAGTTATATTTTTTAAATATTAATAACATTTCATTTTTACAATAAAATTTTTACCGACTTCTTTTCGTTTTCTAGATTCTAATTTAATTTAGGAATGATTCTTACTCTAATGAAATGATATGAAATGAAGTAATGTAAATGAAGTTCATCATCATCGTGATTCGTGGGTGCTGGGAAAATAAATGAAGAAATCTTTATTTCAGAAAAATGAGGATCGCTAACGAACTTATTATAAATCTTCGATTTTTCTGATGCATCAAAAAAATGGCAATATCTATTTAACGATTAAATACGGCATCTTATAAAACCTAAAACTTCACGGAATGTTGAAAACGAAATAAATTTTAACTAACAAGCTGAATGCAGATCGGCAAAGAGTCATTAACATAACTTCGGGAAGGCCAAGATTTTTTCTAATTATATCTCAGATTTTTCTAAAAATAAACCAAAATGCTCATGAATAATTAAATTTTAGGAACTTGCTTCCAGATGTAACTTGCCCGTTGAAAAAAAAATTCAATGTTAAAACGCTGGTAGGGCGCTTCCAGTTATAAAATTCCATGTTATATATAATCATGGTTGCGGTTGACCGGTTATGGGTTTTAGTCGGCGCGACTGCGAGTGGCCTCATTCTGTTGCGGTTGCAGTCTCAGTCAGGTCTTAATCGGTTGCGTTTCAATCAATCAGCCAATCAATCAACTAGTTTGCAGAGCACATTAGTTATACTTTACAAATATGCTATATTAATGTGTCGTAAAAAACACTACATTTCATTATTTTGTACAACGTATATATTGTAAAATTTAAATGCATGATTGTCTGTGCTATTCACTGAATTATTACGCACGCATTTTTCTTGTATTATCGGCTGCTCACTGAGATATTTAAAATATATCAGGATCAACTATTAAAAACTTCTGTTCACTTTTACTATGTGCTACTGAAAGTATTTACATTTGGTTGCCCAGAACCATGCTAAGTTTTGTTTGTTTTATAAATCAATTCTACATTTATTTGCTACATTAGCGAAAATGTTTTTAATGTGGAAAAACTTCAAAACAAAATGGAGGAAGGCCTCATTCGCCAGAAAAGGATTGCCGTTTTTTGTTAGTAATTTTTTTGTGTTTACTGTTTACTTTTTCTGTTTGTCTGAAATTTATTTCTATTCATTTAATTTCTACTTCTAACTCCTCTACTCTTACTTTCGGAGTACCTCAGGGTTCTATCCTTGGCCCTCTTCTATTTATACTCTATACTTCTGAACTACCTCATATTATTAATAACTTTTCCTTCTCTAGTCAACTATATGCTGATGATTCTTACATTTATACTTCTTTTCCTCCATCTAACTAATATCAATAGTGTTCTTCATAATTTATCTCTGTCTTTCTTCAATTATCGCTTGGTCTGACTCTATGTGTCTTAAACTTAATCCTTCTAAGTTTGAATTAATTTGTTTTAATAAATCTAAACACATTACTATTCCTCCTATTATCTTACCTGATTCTAAAACTCTTAATGTCTCTCATAAGTTTCATAGTCTAGGTTTTATCTTTGATTCTACTATGTCTCTCTCTTCTCAGATTAATAGTGTTGCTAGAAGCTCTTACTTTCATCTACGTAGAATAAAAAAACTTTTGCCTTTTTTTGATGATCCTACTTCTCCTTCTTGTTACTTCGTTAGTCTTATCTAGGATTGATTATTGTAACTTGCTCTACTATGGTCTTCCTGATTCTATACTCTATCCTTTAAGTAAAGCTTTTAACTCTGCTGCTCGTCTAGTTGCTCGAGCCCCTTTCTTTTCTCATATATCTCCATATCTTGTTCTCTTGCACTGGCTCCCTATAAATGAACGAAATGAACGAAAATACTTTATTTGAACCAACTGAAAGAAAAATTTAAAAGAAAATAAATCCATCAGACAGCTGATTCCGGAGACCACATAAGATAAAATAATCTTGTGAAGGCCACCGTGATCACTGAACAGTTAAATACAATTTATATACTTTTATTAATTAAACATAAATGAAAGATAAATGTAAATTTGATGGATTACATACATAAACCAATGTAACAAGCCCACGAAAACAAAATAATATCTAATACTATTTGTAATTAGTTAAACAACAGAAAAGAAATTAAATGCAAGTTTGATAGATAAATGTTACAATGTTACAGGTCCATTAATTAAAATAATAGTCCTCATGGTGGATCATATTTTATCAAAAATTTCTTCAAAAACTTTTTAAATGACTTCAAATTAGATATAATTTTAATGTCCTCTGGCAGAATTCCATCCCATATACTTGGGCCAATTACAAATATACTGTGTTGGTAAATATTTAACCTATTTGGGTATATGTAAAAAATATTATTTTGCCTAGTCGATAAAGAATGAATGTTAGATCTTAGATGAAAACATTAACAAAATAATTAGGTAATAAGTGTTAATCAATTTAGACATAAAGATTGATGAATAATAAATGTTCAATTGTTTAACTGTTAAAATGTCTAATTTTAAAAACAAATGATCAACATGAGACATTAAGGTTAAATTATAATATATTTTAATGAACCATTTTTGCATAATAAATAAATGATTAACAATATACGACGGGCTATTACCCCAAATGATATTACAGTAAGATAAATAAGGTAGAATGAAACTATTATATAGAATAACAAGTGTATTTTTATTAAGTTTATTTTTAATCCTGTTAATTATATAAAGAAATCGATTGGTTTTACAAGTGATATCTAATATGTGATCATTCCACAATAAGTTACTTTGTAAATAAACACCTAAAAATTTTATCGAATCAAGTTTTTTTATTGCGTGGTTACATATGTTAATATTTAAATCAGGAATAGTGTTAGTTACAATCTTAGGACCCATAATAGTATAAGAGCATTTACTTGTGTTAATTAATAATTTATTTATATTAAACCAATGTTCAAATTTAATCATTTCACTATTTATAAGTAATTTTTCATTCATAAGATTTTTCGATGAATAAAATATGTTAGTATCATCAGCATACAAAATACAGCGAAAAGCAGATGAAACATTTGGTAAATCGTTAACAAAAATGATAAAAAGTAATGGACCGAGTATGGAACCCTGTGGGACTCCGCAGTTCAAAGGCAAGACATCCGAGACATGATTTTCCAGCCAAACGTATTGCAGTCTATTTTCCAGATAACTCCTGAACCATTGATTAATTTTTCCACGAAAACCATAAAAATTTAACTTTTTGAGAAGCAACGAGTGATTGATCAGATCAAAAGCTTTCGACAGATCGATGAAAATGCCCATCGTAACGTATCTATCATTCATGTTCATTAGTATACGATGGGTAAGCTCAACAATTGCCAACTCTGTCGAGTGAGCGTTTCTAAACCCGTACTGATTGCTGGATAAGATATTAAAGCGGTTGAGAAAGGTCATCATTCTAACACTCATTATTTTTTCGAGAATCTTAGAAAATGGAGACAACAAAGAAATTGGTCTGTAGTTGCCAGCATCTCCTTTATCTCCCTTTTTATGTATTGGAATAACTTTGGCTAATTTGAACCGATCAGGAAAAGTTGCCGATTTTAGAGACAGGTTGCATATGTGCTTTAGTGGAAAAATGATTTCGTCCACAAACAGTTTGACCATAAACATATTGAAACCATCATCAGACGTGGATTTGTTAGGTTTGAAGGAATTGACAATGCTGAACAACTCAGCAGTATTGATTTCATCTATGTAGAATGTGTTGATATTCTGATCTGAAAACATTTCATGCTGCAAATTCTGGTTAAATCCGCCTTGGAGTGAATTTATCGTATCAATAAAATTTCGGTTGAGTGTGTTACAAATCTCTTTTTTATCGGAGATTGTGCAATCATTTAACTTCAAATGGTCAATTCGAGTGGTCTGCTTTTTAACATTCATTTATCAAGCGCCATTTTGCCTTTATATTATTATTATTTAATTTAAAAAGTTTGTCGTAAAATTGTTTTTCTGCATTACGTTTAGCTTTTGTAAAACTATTTCTAAGGCATTTATACACAAATAAATTATTCGGAGATGGATCTTTAATGAGTTTTAAATACTGCTTATTTTTTTCTTTGCAGAGCTTCAGAAGATCCGCATTCATCCAGCTTTTTTTAAATTTAGAACTCACAGGTGGCAAAAACTTACAACAATCATCCACCGTCCTTCGAAAATAATCAAGAAATTTTTGCACACAACGATTCACATCACCATCATTCAAAATGAAATCCCAGTTGGTGTTGTTTAGGATTGACTTTATTTTATTTACGTTCAATTTGGGTACATTATTTCGATTCGAACTTGAATTAACTTTTTGAACTTCCATATTGTTCGTTAAACAAAAAACGGGATAATGGTCAGACAAATCTGCAATTACAACTCCAGCCTGATGAAAACCATTTTGATTAGTTAAAATATTATCCAAAACTGATGCAGATGAGGTTGTAACTCGCGTTGGCAAATTTATCAAGGCGTGAAATTTGTGGAACAATAATAATCTCTCAAAATTCAATTTATCTTTCGAAGCAGAATCCATGTTAATATTGAAATCTCCTGCAATATAAGTGAGTGAATTACCTCCAAGCAACAAATTTTCGAATAAACTTATAAATTCATCTAAATTAGCACCCGGTGGTCGGTAAACAGATATGATTTTAACACATTTATTGTTGTTCATAGAGATTGTTAATGTCAAAGTTTCTATTGAATCATGCATTACTTTTCCATCGACATTGTAAGCTATCTCATTCAGAACAAAGATTCCAACCCCCCCACCTTTTTTGCTCTGTCTATTATTAAATATGAATTTATATCCGTGTAAATCAATTAAGGGGGAAGTCATATCATCTAACCACGTCTCTGAGATTACAACAACAGTAAAACGAAAAGGAAAGGAATCCAAAAAAAATTTTAAATTACTCATTTTGTGAAAAATACTTCTTGCATTGATATGTATAATAGTGAGAGCATGCTTTGCCGAACTAATGTTATCAACATTTGAATCATTAATTATTGAATTTGAAACGTAGTAATATTTACAATCACAGGATAAATCATTTTTAACACAATTATTTAATGATGAAATACTAGCCATTATCAACGGATGGAGTTTTAGGCGCTAGATTCGTGTAAAATAACCATTCACGAACATTGGCGTGTAAAGGCCATATATCAGCATTAAAAATTTTATCCTTTTCAATTTCAGGAATACAGATTCTGAAAGAACTATACTCCTCATCGTTGTCATTGGTTTTCTCAGCATTGTTTTTTTGAGGTCGTTTAGCAGGAAATATATTGTGGAATTTGATATCAGAATTTCGTAAATGTTCAGCGACTGTGTCTTTTGAACATGGGGTAATGTTACCAAGGTATATTACTGATTTCTTTTCCGCGCCTTTTAGTTTAAGTGACCCTGTGGTGTCGCATAGCTTCCCGACCGTTTTTTTGATTGGTAGCGAAGTTGGCTTCAAAATCCTTTTATTAACGTTATTGATGTTAGCATCATCTTGTTTACGTTTATTAACTTTATTGGGAACCACCATCCAAGGAGAGCTGTTATTGCTATCAACAGCAACATTATCTGCTGGAAGATTTAATTTCGCTGTATCCAAGTATGACATTTTAGTGGCTTGTTTGACATCAGTTTCTCTGGCGTTGAAAGAGACATTCCCTACTTGGTCACTGCCGGATTGAGGTTTGGTGACGCCACTATGAGACTGCATAAACTTTAAGAACAACTGGTTATTTTTTTCGATGTTGTCTAATCTTTCATTTAATTTATTTAAACTTTCGCATACCATTTTACTATTATCCTTGGCCAGACGTATAGGAACTCTTTCAATGTTAAAAATAACAAATATTGGCAGCTGTTCAGATAATTTATTATCCATCAGTTCAACAAATATGTCAACAATATCACAAACTTTTTCATATTTATTACTTCCTCGGTTCAACTGTTTGATTTTATCCTTTTTCAACATTTCATATTCGGAAACTAAAATTTTTTTACCGACCGAAATCTCGTCACACGTAAAAAATGATGCAACTTCATTTTTGAAATTATTATCTGATATAATTTCTAAATTCGTACTTAATAGCCATAAAATCTCTGAAATACAAATCCTTTTAGAAGCCATTACAACATATTTGTTGTAATATAGAACAATTTTTAAAATTTGCACGTTCATGTATAAGTCTCAATCTAAATTATTTCCTAAGTATTTATCAGATATATTAATTGAACCTAAACGCCCCGGTTTACGATCGTCTTCTTCTTCTCGCTTTTTCTTAACTCGTGTTAAACACTCTTTTGCCAAATCTGCTTTTGCTTTTTCTTGTCCTTTTCTCTGGAACTCTCTACCTACTTCTCTGACTACTTCTCCATCACTTGCGAAGTTCAGAGCGGATCTCAAGACCCATCTGTTTACAAAATTCATTGAGGAGCGCTGTTGAACATCGCTAAAATAGCGCTTTATAAGCTAATTGATTGATTGATTGATTGATTGATTGATTGATTGATTGATTGATTGATTGATTGATTGATTGATTGATTGATTGATTGATTGATTGATTGATTTAATTAAATAATTAATTTGAATTTAAATTATAAATAAATTGAATTGAATTGAAATTCTAAAATACTAAAGTAATATAAAAAACCATAAATAAACAAAAAGTATAAAATAAAAATTAAAAACCATTATTTGTATATTGTAGGGGCTGAAGTAAAATGTAATGTTTTTATTTGACAAGATGAGTTATTGTTGATGCTGTTGTTGGTCTTTTATTTTTTGAAAATTTACGTCCAAATGTTTTAAAAGAATAGCTCTACTGTCAGCAATTCTTGTTATACAACCCCTCATCGAGTGATTAATACAGTTCTTAAGTTTGATGTAGTTTGCTTCCAACATCTTTACAACAAGAAGAAGCAAAACTTATGTACATATAATAGATATATTACTTCAGCATGAGCCTAATTTCATGTTTGTCAGCAGACCTAAAACATTGTTGAATATGCTGATCAAGCTTTGCTTTATTTTTTAATAACCTTCCGTATAATATGCATATTTTTTATTTTGTCATCAGGTGTTATTGATATGTGGATCATATGGCCTCAAACACTTTGCACAGCTTAGAATAACATTTAGAAATAACAAGGTGAGTATTGAATAAGTTTCTTGCAACATATTTATTGGCATTCAATCAACATTTGTATCATGATTGTATTATGAAATATAAATGTCTGTCTGTTCGTTTGCTTGTTTGAATTTCTAATAACAAGAAAAAGATGTTAAATAATGAAAGCTGAGCTTAAGAGTTTGTTAATTTTTGAGAATATAAATATATTGCGGATACTATTTACATTTTTAAACTGAGGCTTGATATTTTTAATGTCATTATGCCTTCTGTAGCTTGTACTTGAATCTGACCCTGACTTGAAACCTCTGATGAAACAAAACGAGGACACACCCACCCTTGAGAAGGAGTACGAGGTCATCAATTCATCAGTTACTATTTCATTAACCAATCAATTCACAATCAGCATTGTCATCCGACATATAATTGCAATTGCAATGCATAATGTAATTGATATTTTTGTCAATCAGAAAATATCCAACATGGACATTTCAAACTGGAAGAATGTGAGAGGACCAAGACCATGGGAGGCCAGTGAAAATAGTGCAAAATAAATTTTAAATGAGATGGTTTTTAGCAAATTACCTGAAATGTGTTTGCTCATAGTCTGGGGTTTGAGATCAAAGACAGAGATAGAATATTATCAGCACATATAATGAAAACGTGAGAAATTATCAATCGACAATTCACCAACTGATTATATTTATTCAACTTGATGCTTCTGTAGTTTGGATCGCAGTAATTTTTGTTTTATTTATTTTATAAGAATCATTAAATTGAAAAAAATGTTAATTATTTCACCGTAAGTATATTTTGCCACAAAAAACCATAAAATCTGTCATCTTAATTTAAAAGGTAAAATTAATCATAAATTTTTGGATATATCTGAAAATACCAAACATCTAAATAACTTTTACAGTAAGGGTAGGATAAAAAAAGTTCAAGGTCACCAACATTAAATTCAAAATAAATGGAATACAACATGAAACAATACATTTAAACGTAAATATCAATAATCAAAAGTTAATTAACAAGTGAAGTACAGATAATTATAATTGGAAAAAATGCAACTTGTTTTGACATACAAAGTGTAATATGATGTTTGTAACGCATGTGGTTGGTTCAGAAATACAAGAATAGTGAGGAGAAGTTTGGAGATAAAAATGTGAGACTGCCAAAATCTTGATGTTTCATGAAGTCAACCCGAATTTTTGAAACGTTCACCAAAAATATGACTTGGTTCTATCTTTCCAGTATATTTGAGACCACTTTGCTATTTCCACGCGTCAAACATTCATAAAATGTGAATGACGTTCAATGTTTTTTGAGATGTTAAAAGATAGAAATCACTTTTTAAGTACTTTCATACGAACATCCTTTCAAAAGTCATCAATGCATCGTTCATACACATTTCTGTCCGCAATGTTCAAGTGGTTTGTCGATGAAGCGAGAAAGTTTGAACATTTGACGACATACAAAAGAAAATTATAAAGTCACGAGTGCTGTGTGTGAAAGGTCAGTTGGAGCACGTGCGTTAACTCCAGTGAGATGTCTTCTCTGCCCTTATCAAGACCAGAAATTCACACAACACATGCAAGTACAACGTACTGTACTTCATTTAAACTTGCAATGAAATCGAGGCGATAATAATAAAAGTGCAGGTTAAATATATACAATACAAACGAGCTAACAAATTGTAGAAGTTTGAAATGCAGATTACATAATAGCAATAATCACCAAATGATAAATGTGAAGTTAATTAACAAAATTTTAAAAAATGCTTACAGTGTCTGTTATCATGTTTTCGTAATTTCGTCACAACGTTCTTCATCTTACAATTCCGTGCGTAAATATTTATTAGTAATAAATCATAACTAAATGTAACATCAATATTAAAGTTAAGGGACTTGTTATCGCAGATGAAACGTTATTGCGTCCGTTATAAATGTTATACACATACGAGTTGTGATATATTTTCTACAGAACAACAACAATCAGCCATTAATCGATAAAACACACAATGAAAAAGGATAAACTTTAAAAAAATCAAAACTTAAATATTAAAAATATTGTTTAAATAATTTCTTCCAAATAATTAAATCACCTGTGTTTATGCTTGATTGAAGACTAGTTTTAAAGCAAAATTTCAAAAAATAATTATTCAACTGCCCAACAAAAATGAAGAGTTCAAATCTCTTGCTGATTAGTAAAAAAAAGTTTCTGACCGGTCATGTTTGTAGTTGAATAAATGACAGTAGTTACCAAATATACACGTCGTGTAGACATTTCTATACATTTCTATGTGACTACTTTTAATTATGCAGATTATTATTTTTTAACTCAAGTGTGGCATGAGTGTGCACAAGAGTGCCAACTATTGATTTAATGTCAAACTAATAAAATTATTTTTCTCCCTACTAAAATGAAGTCAGCCACCAGTGTGATGGGCTACGTGTATGTATATATATATATATATATATATATATATATATATATATATATATATATATATATATATATACATTCACATATGTATATATTCGTAATTATACATACACGTATTGTCTTATTCAGTTGACTGAAACATCAAAAAATAAAATAATCAAGTAACATGATGCAAAATAACTTCACTAACAGTTAACACAGAATTGAAGAAAATGAGATAAATGATTTAATCAAAACACTAAACTGCTGATAGCAGTACATTTTAAATAATACTGAATCAAGCATAACATTGAAAATTATCGCGACTGAATTGCTTGAACTTAAAATGAGTCAAGAACAAAATGTTGAAAATGTTTCTACAGTATAATGTCAACAGTATAGATACGATGCAGCCTTGGAAACGTCACCAAACAGAAAAAAGATATGATTGTATAATACGTTATGCACTGTGTAGTAGTTTTGTAACATACATAACTACATTTAACCAACGACAAATGCACCAAAACAAATTAAGCCATCAACAAATGCGAGCGACAACAATTGATCAGTCATCGAATGAAGCTGTTGTGGTTGTTGTTGAGGACTTGCTTGCGTCACATTGGCGGCCGTTCGAATGGGAACCTGGAGGTGATCATGATGATCTTGTCTCGAAAGCAGAATGCGATGATGCCAGCTATGAAGATGACGCCGATGGAGAACATGGGCCACCATAAGATGTCGTCGTAGTTGAGTGGGTGGCCTGGCAGGTCCATCATGTCATCATCATGACTTCTCCTGCAATAATTCGTTTCAATGACTTATTATAAATTCATTTTTGCAATTCATCCTCAATTATAGAAAAATTCAGAACTTGGTAATTATGGTATTCATATGATTATTCTCAACAAGAAAGATTAGTAGTAATGCATTTTAGTCATCCATCATCGTCATCATAAACTGCCATCGTCATTATCATCGTCGTCATCAGCGGAACAAAAACGTTGGCAGGGGTGATTACAAGCTCAGTCATGCATGGCAACAGACTGACACACTCACTAATGATGTGAGTTAATGATGAACATTTGAATGATAGAAACAAATGATGCAGGTTAACTATATCCTTCGGTGGGAGGATAACAACGAACCATTTCTTGCTGCTGAGCTTGAGAGCGCCTCTGCGATTGTGTTTCCTCCTGCTTTCATCGTCAACATCATCCACGTCATTAACCACGTCATCACTCGATCGACACTTCTTCATCTTCTTCAACTCTCTTCTACTCGTGCTATGAAGTGATGATGATTTCAAGGGACCTGATGATGATGACGATGTTGTTGGTGGTGGTGATGAAGGCTGTTGAGTTTTCGATGAAAGATGTGTAAATGATGTCTTGCTGAACGTTGATGTCGTTGATGATGATGATGATGATGATGACTTGGTTTCAGCAACGGGGGACGAAACTTTGTTGAGTGCTTTTTTGTTTTGTTTCTTTTTATTGAGCAGCGTGGCAGAAGCAGCAGCATCAACGTAGATCGAACTGCCATCTGGTGAGGCATTTAACAAAGTTGAATGTTTAAACACGCCACCGTTTTTAATTGCACCATTCCCTTGCAGTGCATGTGGCCGTGTGGATTTAGTCACCTCATCAACGAATGAAGTTGTCTTGTGTGGAGTAACTTTTGAATTGCTTGTAATTTTTTTCGCTGATGTTGTTGCTGAAGATGACGTTTTAGATGATGTTGCTGGCGATGATGCAGTTGAAACTGTGGAACTGAAAGTTGTTGTTGAAGCGGATAATTGTTGTGGTGTGGATTGCAGGCTGGTTGAATGCGATTTCGATGATCCCATATTTTGTTGCTTCTTCTTGTTTTGCCTAGCATGCCAATCCACATTGAAGTTATCAACCCAACTAAGATTGTTGTTGACATCTTCGAGCACTTCCACACCAGGTCGGTCAACTGAACTGCCCACGTCTTCCGGGTGACCATCACTTGAATCGTCTTCAATCAACTTCCTTCTCACGTTCACAAAATTATTCATCTGAGATACACCGACTGTAGAAGATTTTTGATTATATTTTGTCTTCCTGTGATTGTTGGTTGCAGGTTGCAAGCCTTCCAACAATTTGTCTCTGTAAGTGTCTCTCTTCCAAACGAATTCATTGTGTAGAACTTCGTCTGATGGTTGCTTGTTGAAATGGTCTTCAGATGTGAGTGGTGGGTGGTGGATGTTGTTGTGGTGGTTTTGTTGAGGTGTTGGATTTGTTGATGAGTTGCATAGCTGATCAACACGAGGGATGGTTGGACCATTCGGAAGTTTTCTATTCAAGCAAGTGAATTGAGTTGTGTTGAGATTGTTGGCATCAACATCGGCTGCCACGTCGACATAAGTGGTGCTGTGATTATTGACATCAACCGCCACAACAACATTGGTGTCATCAGTTGCGAGTTTGTTGCAGGAAGTGGAACTTTCAAGAAGTTGGTTGGTGTTTGAGATGGTTAACACATCTGAAGTTGTTGCGGTTTCGCTGGCTGATGTCTCATCCAAACCATCAACTACTTGGATTCTTGAAAGAAAATTGGAAAACAAATATTAAAATATTTTTAAACAACAATTTATTAATTGGAGTTTTATAACAAATGAAAGAGAAATTATTTTTGATAATTATTCATCTGTCTGTAAATATCATAATTTTAAATGAGCAGTTGGTCTATTTCCCACAAGGGAAACATATTTCACCAATACTAAATGATATATACTTTTGATATATTAGGCTTCAGTAGATATAGCAATACTAATAATAAACAAGAACGGCACACAAAAACGAATTCAAACATCTCAACAGAGTATCTCAAAAATGCAAATTTTAAGTGCTCTTGAAGCAGGCCGTTCAGAAGGTAGGTAGACTTGTGAATGAATGAATTGACACAGTTGACGAGTTATACACAAAAATGTTCATTATCGGATGACATTCTTTAAAAATTTCTTGATGACGAAATAGAGCATGTGTAATGAGAGATTAAATGTTGGTTGAACAGGACAAGAAAGACATCGACACACTAACCAACCAGGAACCACTAACCATCAACCATGCTAAATTTTACTCCAATTTATAACTGAAAGGCTGATCATGTAAAAATAAACCAAATAAGTTAACTTAAATTATTGTGAAAGTATACAAATGTGAAAGAATGTGTGCAATTGTTATCTACTCAGATCTCCTCCATGTACCTCATATGTAGTGCTTACAATGTAATATGTAATGAAATACAAGTTGTTGCAAAGAAGGAAATAATTTTGTAGCTTATCACATGATGAAACATTTTGTGTAGAGGCATTCCACTTAATTATCCTAAATTTGTTTACACTTGTGAATAACTTTTTACCGGTCACAGAGTTAGCTCAGTCAGTAGAAGTGCCATGTCTCAGGCTGCTTAATAGCTGCTCGATGGCGTGGTTCGAACACTGTCCGTCCGAAACTCGAAGACCATCATACCCGTATAATGCGATGCTTGCGCCTGCATACGTGCATGATGTGTATGTGCATCGTGTGGTGTGTATTGTGTACAGTACACGTACATCCTTTGTGGCACGATAGTTTAATTATAAGTATAGAATAACATGGAAGCAGTTCTTCGTTTGACAGTTGAATTATAAAGAATAAAAAAAATTAATAAATAACGACCAATTATTATTCGTGAATACATCAATTTAGAACAATTATGTAATAATAGCAAAGATTATAAACCATTACAACATTTCTCAATTTTAGGAAAACCTTCTCTAAAAAAGATTAAATTATTTCATAGCGGGCAAAAATTAAGATAACATTTTTCTCTGGCTAACTCAGTAAATTAGTTAATTAACTAATCAAAAATAATAAGAACTTATCAAGTTTCGTGAGTGCTGTGCTATGTATCCGCCTCCGTAGCAATATAACAATAATATACACGTAGAATAACCCATTCAAATATTAATTAAATTTTTGTGTGAACATATAATATATATATCACAATTCATTTATTCGTTTTTCATACGCAATTGTAAACAGTCAAAAGATTGCAACGTTGCTGTTAAAGACCTGTTGAAAAAAGTTCAGACATGTTTCTCTTTTTATATTTTATTAAACCATCAACTTAAAACCTTTCTGAACGCAACCATTATGCTAAATCAGCACTGTTTTAGGTAAGAGGTAGAAATAATTTTAAAAAAGCCGTTTCAGAAAATTTAATGATGCGATGCGGTAGGTACGCAATCTTGCTCCACTACCAGCACTCCAACACACACACATACACACACACACACACGTCAGATCAGACAAGCTAATGACATGTTTGTTTGTATTCATTCATATATACTATATAGTACAGTGCTCAAACAAATGACAAAAATTTGTTTTGGATGGCGTATAGATAACTGCCACGTTGTTCAATTGCGCGCGCGCGTGTGTGTGCATGATTTCAAATATGAGTGTGTATGCGTTCGTTTGTATGCATGTTCGTAGTGGGTGTATGGCTTTTATTAAATTCATAAGATTTGTTTGCAGCGAGAAAAATGTCATCGTATGAACAAACTTCGGTAAAAATATTGCCATTCAAGTTTAACAAGAGCGCAAATAATATCTATAATTTAATTTAAGGTTGCATTGCCAATCCAGTCAACTGACAATCATCAGATAGTGGCAACACAAATGTGTAGCACATTACTGCATTCTTTGGAATTGTGGATTTGTCTTATCAAATTATGTCTTGAAATGAAGATAAGAAACTCTTCTAAACTTATTCTAGAACAGAGATATTAAAGATCTGCCTACATAGAAACAAACATGAAGAAAACATAATTTAAATCTATTTGTGTTTGTAGTTTGTTTGTTGTTAGTTTGTTGTTAGTTATAATGAAATGATGAAAATGTTCGCAAAAGTTGCAGCCCTAACAATAAATTGTACTCAGTGTATTTCCTGCAATAAAATAGAACTTGCAGTACATCTAATGATAATTCCCCACCCTATATTCAAGAGGTGATACAAGGATCCAATAAATAGGCAAGATAATCCCATGAGTGTTGTTTAGGCACAAAATGAACATATAAGAACGTCATTTACACAAATGAATCATGAAAGGAAAAAACAAACACACAAGCAGGCACATTTTGTACACACATGAACGTTGAAAAATTACATATTCAATCAAAAGCAGGCAACTATGATTCACTCTGCGTGCGAGTAAAAATGGAAAAAAGATGTTTTATATTTATACGAACATGCATATATTACCACATTAGCCAAATGAAAATTACATCATCACATCCTAAGACTAGGTTCATTCCAGTGTACTGTACAAAACAAAAATATGTTGGAAGCACGTGCACTGCACAGATCTACGTGCAGTGCGCACATGATGGTGTCAGTGAGAAGTTGAACACAAACGTGAATCATGCATGTGGCTACAGCGTGGTGGGATATGTTCTGAAGAGGTTTACTACAACGAACTATACGAGTAGCCATGTTATCTGCAGGAAGGAAGGATTTTTTGATGGAGCAAATATATGAATGAACAAATTAATTAATTGATTGATTGATTAATTTAATTAACTAACAAAAGATTATAATATTGAATGGATGAAAAAAGGAATGAGTGAAAAAATGAATGAAATTATTAATAAACAACTGATAAAACAGCCATTTTAAATGTAATCAAAGCAAGTATAATGATTAGATAAGGGAGACTTAGTGCACATTTAAACTCATTTAAAATTCTAATGACCAACCATTAGACATTAGTTCCATCCAGTACAACTTTAGCTCATATCATTAAAAAAAACAATCCATTCATCTATCCATTCATCCATCTATCTATTCCTCCATCTAACCATTCATCCATCTATCCATTCATCCATCTATCTATTCCTCCATCTAACCATTCATCCATCTATCCATTCATCCATCTATCCATATTATGAAGTGCACACAAACAAGTAGAAGCATACACACGAGCAGTACAGTACAAACACACACGTCTGCTTGGTTACATTACAGGCATACTAATTTGAATGAGCATCAACACCGGCCAGTATAGTGGTGTAGGTACATGCATGCAACAGGTTTTTATAATAAATTTCTACATTTCAATAAAATTCAATGGTAAAGTTTCACCATATGTGAACATTAATATTTCATCATGACTTGATGACTATGAACTAAAAATAAATAAAAATAAACTTCATTTGAACTAAAGTAAAACCGAAAAGATACTCAGGCACCTCACAAACATATCCTGCATCATTTTAAGATTTTGAAAAGAGAGAATGAAGTCAACAACCCTAATGAATTATGTAAGTTCCAATCAAGTGGCGGATCTAGATGATTTTACGGGAAACAAATATTTTGAAAATAATTTTAATGGAAGGGGGCCAAAATTTTGACGGGTGGGCCAACATATGTGGTAGTGTGGCAGACAAACTTTTTTGCTCATCATTTCCATTTTGGTCAATTTTTAAACTACAACAACGGTGCCTTTTCTGTTAAAACAACGAGTTTCACTGACGTTTATAATAAATACTGCTCACAACGGGGAGCACCCTTCTAGATCCGTCGCTTCTTCCATCTTACTGAAGCTGTGTATCAACACTTCTGGAGTCTGGAGCACCCACCAACAAACTGTTACATTTGTTGAGTTTGGAGGCTGGTGTTGGAGCGTGTGAACAAAATGGATAGAATTTTTGGAGATGGAAATGAACGTAAATGTTCAGGAATTCAACTTGTGAGAGATTGTGCAAAAAAGATTTGAATTTAAGAGGAAGACAGGATATCAAAAAATGTTGTTTTGATATTAAATCTAAAATTAATATGACATTTTCTGAAATGAATTACACATTCACTTGCAACTGAGGACAAATGTACAACTTGAAATTAAACAAACATAGATAGTGCAACAATATCAATACAAATTAATTGAAGAATTGAAAAAATTCTAGAAGAAACATGTAAGGCATGATTCAGAAATCCAAACCAATCCCTGAAGTTACTCAATTAATTTTAAATCTTATGATACTATGATGATAATAGACAACAGCATTGTTTATAAATACCCAAACATCTAAGATACCAACATACAAGCAACACCATTGCTACTATCAACACCAGTAGCACCATTGACACAGGCAATATCAATATTCAACTCAACAAATATGCTCTAATTTTTTTCTCTCTTAAAAATAAATCATTTCTCCATTCAACAAACTTTCAGCAGACAGACAAAGAGAAGCAAGAGGCACAACATTTTTTACGTTTATATTTTTAGCAATCACAAATAAACAAAATGAACAAACCAACAAAAAACAAACATAAAAAAAACGCATACACGCAAAATATATAAAAAAAAAACAAATAAACAACTATATCAATCAATCAATTAATTTGTGAAGCACTATTTCTGCGATGTGTCTTGAGATCCGCTCTGAATTTTGTAAGTGATGGATAAGTAGTCAGAGAAGGAGGTAGAGAGTTTCATAGAAAAGAGTTCAAAAAAAGCAAATGCAAATTTAGCAAAAGAGTGTTTAACAAGAGTTAAAAAAATGTGAGAACAAGAAGACCATCGTAAACCGGGGCGTTTAGGTCCAATTAATATATCTGATAAGACCTTAGAAAATAATTTAGATTGAGACATACATAGATGTGCAAATTTTAAAAATTATTCTATATTTTATAGGTAGCCAGTGCAAGAGAACAAGATATGGAGATATATGAAAAAAGAAAGGGACATGAGCAACTATGTAGACGAGCAGCGTTAAAGGCTTTACTTTAAGGATAGAGTGTAGAATCAGAAAGACCATAGTAGAGCGAGTTACAATAATCAATCCTAGATAAGACTAACGAAGACTAACAAGAGAACAAGACATGGAGATATATGAGGAAAGAAAGGGACACTAGCAACTTCAACATACAAGCAAACACACAGAATAGCAAACAAACAAACCTCTTTCAAATGGATGCAGTACAAAACAAACACAACTCCCATCACTCACGAAACACTCACTCACTACAACAACAAAAATATTGAACGTACATATATTTCAAATTTTTATGTTTATTTTCCTTATCTGCAACAATGGTGCATTATTATTCTCCTTCCTCTTCTTGTAATACGGTTAAAAAAAGACTAACTTTCTTATTTTCACGGTAAATTTAGCATTTACAAAACAGTAACAATAATAATAATAATAACAGCATTAATAATTAATTATTATTACTATTATTAACTTATCAATTATTATTATTACTATTACTACCATTACTAACAAGCTCTCGTTGCACAATCATAAAATTCATGTTACCGGATAAATAGCATAAAGCAATTGCTGTTGATGTCTGCAAACTATAACCTACTCTCACAGTTTATTGCAGGGTTATATTGTAAAATTATTTATGTATAATTACGTCTATTATATATAATAATAATAACAATAAACATTAATTCTAATAAATACCACCACGTTTTGTTTCTCGCATAATCTTGTGAAGGTGATGAGGATGGATGAATAGATGGATGGATAGACAGATGAATGGGTGGATAGACGAATGAATGAATGAATATATGGATGGATGAATGGATGGATGGATGGATGCAACTCCTGCTTCATTCCAATACATGCAGGGAAACATTGTGAATAACATTTCAAAATAATAAAGTAAATAACAGCTGTAAGATTATACAGTTATGCAATAATCCAGTAATCTAGGTAGGTAGGTAGGTAGATAGGTAGATAGGTAGATAGGTAGATAGGTAGATAGGTAGATAGGTAGATAGGTAGATAGGTAGATAGGTAGATAGGTAGATAGATAGATAGATAGATAGATAGATAGATAGATAGATAGATAGATAGATAGATAGATAGATAGATAGATAGATAGATAGATAGATAGATAGATAGATAGATAGATAGATAGATAGATAGATAGATAGATAGATAGATAGATAGATAGATAGATAGATAAATAAATAGATAACTGAGCATTATCACAACATTGTTATTAACAACGTTAATTACTATTATAGAAGACCTTCCAAACCCCAAATTAGTCATCCTCACTGATCATCATCATCATCAATCAAGGATTTTGTAAAAACTAAAAAAAAACTTTAAAAGTTAACAAAACTAGTTACATCATATTATCATATCATCACATCATCTGATCAGCATCTGAATAGGAACCCTGCATAGAAACAGCTCTTGAGATTAAACAGGATTGATTATTTGATTGGAAGCACGCCTACCTACACACACACACACACACACACACACACACACACACATTTATACAAACATACCTTAAAAGTTAGAATTTTCGTTTCAACTACGAAGGCTCAGACAGATCAAAAATTCGCTTGGTAAAGATACATTGAAATGTCTAGTTCATGCGTTCATTCATTCTAAGCTAGACTACTGTAATAGTTACTGGTGGATTGAAGTTTGACCATGTTAGTCATAGTCTATTGAATCTCCATTGGCTGACAGTAAGGCAAAGAATCAAAATCGCCATCATGGTTTTCAAATGTTTGAATAGTCTGAGTTACCTGTCTGACAAGTGTTTGCATAGGTTTAAACCTGTTCAACGTTATCTGTTACGTTCAGATTGTCAAAATCTCTTCTACCGGTGCCAAAAACACAATTATCAGTTGTAGGAAAAAGAAATTTTTCCGTCGCTGGTCCAACAATTTGGAATGATTTACCCCGCCACCTTTGTCATCCTGGATTAACTCTTAATTCCGTAAAGAATTCCGTAATTCCTTAATTCCGCAAAGAACTAAACACTCATCTTTTTATGAATTAAAACGAATGACTTAAGCAGCGCCTTTGAGAAATTTAAATGGGCGCTAGGATATGAATTCTCAAATAATAATACATATATTTATGCATACATACATACATACACACGAAACGAAACTTTATTTGCTTTATTTGCTTTATTTGCTTCTCAAAATTGAAAATTAAAAGAAAGCAGGATAACCATAATAGAATTTATATAAAATTCATCTAGTATGGCCACCTAAACAGAAATATTCCAAGTTCACACAAATTTTCAGCAAATAATAAAAATATTTCCTAAATGATCTATGAGAGGCATGTTAGATGTTAGTTGTTAGCAAATTAACAAACTCGACTATGTTAGCAAAACAGGTGTTAGTTGTTAGTACGATGGTTCATGGTTTATGTATAACAATGTTTGGTATCTATCCAGAAAAACACGGGATAGACATTACATAATTATCTATATATTTAAGCAATATATAGAAAGACATTGTTCTAAAAGTTAAACAGAAATGTGAACTAAACAATGACAATTAAAGCGCAAATAAAAATTGAAAAATAGATCTCCATATCTATATTGATTTGCGGTTAGTCATTGGTCATTCAACAACAGAAATAGTTTTAATTTCTTTTTTAAAATTGCAGACAAATTTTCATAGCAAAAATATCTTTCAAAATTTGATTCCACACTCTAGGACCCTTACATACAACATGCGAATACAGAATATTTGTCTTTGATTTATTTTATAATAAATATTTGACTTGTCTAGAACTTTTATTAAAGGTGAAATAATTATTAAAAATTGATGGGAGCCTATTTGTAAGTTGCTTGAAAACAAAATGTGCCACAAAATAAAGATTTAATTTGTCAAAGTTTAAATTGTTGGTGGCGACGAATAGTTGATTAGTGTGCGCTTGCTTCCTGGACAGCGTGATGACCCTCATTGCCCTCTTCATCAGCATCTTGACGGGGTTGGTGATCGTTTGATATGCACTGGCCCAAACAACATTGCAGTACGTCACGTGAGGTAGACAGATGGCATTATAGATCATGTTCATCCATTTTTTCGGAAGATAAAATTTTATTCTGTTCATTATTCCGATAGATTTCGCTAACTTGTTTGAAACGTAATTGACATGGGGTTTGAATGTTTGTTTCTGATCTAATAAAACGCCTAAAAATTTTATTGTTTTACTCTCGATTATTTCTTGGTTGTTGATTGTAATTTTATACGGTTCTTTATAATTTAAATATTGCACTGGTCCGAAGACAATCAATTGCGTTTTTGAAATGTTTATAGTCAGTTTATTGGAGTTGAACCATTTGACAACGTGTTTTATTTCAGCGTTGGTTTGATCGATAACATCATCAATATCTTTCCCGCTTCTAAAAATGTTGGTGTCGTCAGCAAAGCAAACGTAATCGAAGTAGTCGGTTGCATCTGGTAGATCGTTGATGAAGATGATGAATAGCAGTGGTCCTAAGATGCTTCCTTGAGGAACCCCGACACCATTGTGTCGTAATGTTGAATTTTCATTTCCCCAACAAACAAACTGATTTCTTCCAAACAGACCATTTCAATGTCGTACCTCTTATACCGTAGTGCTCAAGCTTGCTTTGCAGGATGTCGTGATCGATACAGTCAAATGCCTTCGACAGATCGAGGCATGTTCCTACAATGAAATGTTTATTCTCCGCTAAATTATCAATTTTTCTTATCAGTTCGATGATGGCCAGTTCTGTTGAATGTTTCTCTCCAAACCCAAACTGGTAATTTGAAATGATATTATTTTTTTGTAAAAACGAAATTATTCTCCTGTGCATAATTTTTTCAATTACTTTTGAGAATGCTGGTACAAGTGAAATTGGTCGGAAGTTAGAAACATCATTATTACCAGTAACTTTCTGTATTAGTATGATTTTGGATATTTTGAGGCACTTTGGAAAAACACCGGTTGTGAAGGAAAGGTTGATGATGTGTTCAAGGACCTGGGCGGTGGAGTGAATTGTTGATGTTACAATTTTTGTTGGAATATCATCCCAACCGCTAGATGACTTTGGTATCAGCAATTTGGTTGTGAAAATTATCTCATCTGCAGATGCATGGAGACAAAAAAATGAATTCAATGTTTTGTTGCGAAGAAAAGTTTTCCATTGTTTGTCTGTTTAAAATGAATTGAGCAAATTTGGAGCTCTGTTGACAAAATATTCATTCAAAAAATTTGAAGGGTTTTCAATAATTAATTAAATAATTAAATTTTCGTTTCAAGTTAACTGAGATTTAGTTTTATGACTGGTAGATTTTTTTGAAATTTCCTTTATTATTGACCACGTTTTTTTACTACTATTATTATTATGCTCGATTTGATCCATGTAATATTTGCGCTTCAATTTGTTTTTTAATTTCGTACAAAACTGACTTAACGTTTTAAACTTTGATAATTTTTCTGGAGATGGATTTTTAAAATAAGTTTTGAATAGCAATTTTTTTTTCTTTAGTAATTTTTTAATTTCTCCAGTGAACCATGGTTTTGTTTTCGCTAGTTTCTTTTTCTTATTTTGTGAATTTATAACGCAGATATCATAAAAACAAGTTCGAAATCTGTTGATGAATAGCTCGAAGCCCATATCTGCCATAGCCCATACACGTACATACGTACGTACGTACGTACGTACATACATACATACATACATGCATTCATACATACATACATACATACATACATACATACATACATACATACATACATACATACATACATACATACATACATACATACATACATACATACATACATACATACATACATACATACATACATACATACATACCTACGTACATACATAGCTGTGGGTGGTTGAGATCGTGGCCCAACACCTCTGTGGGCACCAGGCTTGACGACGAGTCTGTGAGATTTGCCATTGGCTTCAGACTTGGCCTGGTCATTCAAAATAAATACACGTGCCGATGTGGCGCTGGGGCGGACGAGTTTGGGCACCACGGTTTGGTTTGTCGCCTGGGTGGGGGCCGTCAACTACATCACTCAGCATTAAACGACTACATCTGTCGGCTCTTCTCCAAGGCTTCAATTCCAGTTCTCAAGGAACCATCCGGCATTTCTGCGCATGATGGTAGGCGCCAGGACGGATTCACACTAATACCTTGGAGAGCCGGTAGATGTTTGGCGTGGGATGTTACGGTCCCTGGCACCCTTGCCGAACGATATGTAAACCTGACAAGTAAAGAATGCGGTTTGGCCGCGGCCAGGGCAGCGGACGAGAAAATGAAAAAATATGGGAATGCCCTCCCCTCGATGGAATTCTTCAATTCAATTCAATTCAATAATGAGTTTATTCAGCAAAAAGTATGTATGTATGTATACATACATACATACATACACACACACACACACACACACACACACACACACACACATACACACATACACACATACACACATACACACATACATACATACATACATACATACATACATACATACATACAGGCATACATACAGGCATACATACATACCAAACAAAAAGAGCTCTTAATAAAACACAACCATAACAGTTTGATATTCATGAAAACCAACCTCAGCATCATAAATATTATTTAACAGAACCCCGCAAAACAACTTGGATAACAAAATTGAAAGTAAACACTCAAAGAAACATTTCCACCGAAGTCATTAATATGTACAAATTAATATGTAGAAAAATATTATTGAAGAATTTGAAAATTATTTAAAATATAATTTATAGATATTAAAATTTAAAATCATCTATATATAAAAATTTTATGACCAAGTTGGAATTTTTATTGAAATAATTTTGAAACCTGATCAGTTGAGTTTGTTTAAAAAGATTAATAATGTTAAATTTTATTTGTTTTCTTTATAAGAAGCATTTCATTTATGACAAGAGCTGTGTGAAATTGCTAGCAAGATGCATCATAACATATGGATGTTGTTTATAGTGAGGAAGAATAATTGTAGTTACTTCTTAATTCTATCACATCTATAATATAAATGAATCTAAAATTTACTGAAGGGTAAGTGATAAATACTTGCTATGAGTACTATTTTTACTATGTAATGCACTGCCACTGACAGACATTTTTTAAGATACAACCTATAAATATGCAATGTGTCATACAAAAACTGAACATACATAAAAAAATCTAACAACACACAACAACATGCAGTAACACGCAACAACACTTACCTTCTCACCTCATTCCCACAACAACACATAATATTAGAAAGCCTCTTAACAACAGTTCCACCATTTAGCCCATCCTGACCTCCTGACCCCCATCATTCCTTTGCATCAACTCTTAAATTATTCACTCTGAATGAAAATTGCTCAATGTGCATCAAATAGTTTTACCAGTTCCACAAAGGTCGCAAAATTAAACAGATTGCAAAAAAAAATAGCATTTATCAAAACCAATTACTAAATAATAAAAAATTATAAATAATAAAATACAAAAATTAAGGAGGATAGCAGAAGGAGACTAACTGATCCCATTGAAACTGGCATTCATCAATATTGGAGAGCATTGAGTGAGAGAAGGCAGAGCAACCATTGTCATTCATTCCTTTCTTCAAAACAATGCCACAGTGAGGATAATGAAGTGGACTTCTGTCACAGACCCACACAGTTTCGAGGTAGTTCTCTTCAATGTTCACATCATCTGCTGCATCTTCATCCTCAAAATCCCCACCATTCATAATGATTTTAAGCTGCTCATTTATCAGTTGATCTGCTACTTCCACTCCAAACATTGAGCCATTTTTATTGATTTTCAAATTATTCTTCACTGGAGTACTGTGCATTTGAAACTCACCCAGTTGACAAGATGTTAGGGAATCATCTTTTGTTAGATTCAATTCGGTCTTCATATCTTCAGCCACCTTCCAGTCTTCTTCGTCATCATCACTATCATCTGAATTTACTCTAGTGCAAAAATCTGTACCAATCAAAGGAGACTTTTCAGAAAAACTGGCTGCCAACCTGGTGAAATGTTTAGCCATCTGCTCATATTTGGATTTTGTAATTGAATAGATGATTTCCTTCTCACTATTACATGAACTATTTATGATACTGAAATTTTTTTGATCAGAAAATTTTGAACTATCCAACAACATGGAAGACTGCAAATGGTTTGAGACATGTTCATCTGAAACAATGAAACACGGTGCTCTCATCCATTTCAACTTCAAACTTTCATTTAAACGTTCATCCAAACTCCTCTCAGAAAATTCAGTTGCATCATCATTTTCATCACATTCATCAATGAAAACAAAATCTTCAGGCACCGGTGGGTTGCAGCAGTTGGAGCTGAAACCATCTCCATTGATATCAACATTTTCATCCACAATTTTTAAATTGTCTACACCAGCATGTTTTTTGAAGTCATGAAAAGAATTTGTAAGCAAATTGTCATCAACCCTGTTTCCAGACATTATTATTATTTAATTTAACAATATCATTTAGAAAAATAAATTAATTAAATATTCTTTAATTTAGAAAAATTAAAAAATTAAAAAAATAAATTCAAGTAAGATTATATTTCAATTATTATTTATAATTATATAATATAACAAATAAAAAACTCTTTTATTTATTGTACCTATTATTTGCAAAACTTTTTATTGTTGATTTCATTTTTTTATCAATTATTTAAAATTTAAATTTAAAAATAATTCTTATTCCAGCTTTTTTTAATCAGATGAAATTTTTTTAAATACAACTCATGGTGTAACAACTGTACTCATCCATTATAATTTAAAAATTTTTATATTTAGAATGCAAATCAATCAAAAACGAATGTAAACTTTATATTTTTTAATTCTTATATATTTTTAATTTGAGTTAAATTAATTAATTTTTCAATAATTCAACAATTTAATATTATTAATTAATTAATTTAATTTTAAAAAATACCAGAGGTCAGTCTGTCAAATCACTAAGTAACTAAAATTTAATTTTTAATCAGAATGAGGCTTAGTAAGTTAGCAATAAAAAAAATTCCGAGTCTGAACGTGAGAGTCGCAAATTAAAAAAAAATTGTAGATTTCCAACTTTCGTGCAAACAAAACGAATTTCAATGAAACACCAGCTGTTTCCAGTCCTAAAATTTTACCAAAAATCCCATCGCTAAATTAGTTTCATATTCTAAATTGCCTTACCTAAACAATACTCATTCAACTATATAATATTTATATATAATAGAACAAAATATATATGGTAATCAATATACATATGGTATATAGTTAATTTTATAAATATGGCATATGGATGTAGATATATTTTTAATATTCTAGACAGATATGAGTATTTGTTTAATTTTTAATAGTATTTAATATAGTATTTTTGAATTTTTAAATAAATATATATATATATTTACAATATTCTATAAATTCTACTGAATGTTTGGCGTTAATATGTTTGTAGTTCGTTTACTACAAACATATTAACGCCAACCATTCGGTAGAATTTATAGAACATTGTAAAAATTATGGTCTATTACCAACATACATACATACATATATATATATATATATATATATATATATATATATATATATATATATAAGCCTTATACTAGATACATATGCCTTATGAAGCAGAAACATACATTTTCTACGACATACATAAATCTACAATTAATGAAATATATAACAATCAGGGCAATACCTGTCAAGCATTACTATCTGGTTTCAGACCTGCTCACAGTACTGAAACTTCTTTACTCAAAATACATAACGATATCCTTCTTCTTTTTAGTGGCAATAGTAACCTTACTCTTCTTTTTGCTCTTGACCTTTCCTCCGCTTTTGATACTGTTGATCACACTATTCTCTAGAGGCCGCTAGATCTTTCTTTTAATTATTAAAAGACTATTAAAATTTAATACTACTAAATGTTGTCTATCTTGGTTTTTTCTTATCTTTTTAATCGTTTTTCTTCTGTTCTCAATAATTCTACTTCTAACTCCTTTTCTCTTACTTTCGGGGTACCTCAGGGTTCTATCCTTGGCCCTCTTCCATTTATGCTTTTTACTTCTGACTATTTGACTATTAAAATTTAATACTACTAAATGTTGTCTATCTTGGTTTTTTCTTATCTTTTTAATCGTTTTTCTTCTGTTCTCAATAATTCTACTTCTAATTCCTCTTCTCTTACTTTTGGGGTACCTCAGGGTTCTATCCTTGGCCCTCTTCTATTTATACTTTTTACTTCTGACTATTTGACTATTAAAATTTAATACTACTAAATGTTGTCTATCTTGGTTTTTTCTTATCTTTTTAATCGTTTTTCTTCTGTTCTCAATAATTCTACTTCTAATTCCCCTTCTCTTACTTTCGGGGTACCTCAGGGTTCTATCCTTGGCCCTCTTCTATTTATACTTTTTACTTCTGAACTACTTCGTATTATTAATAATTTTTCGCTCACAAGTCAACTATATGCCGATGCTTTTTATATTTATACTTCTTTTCCTCCATCTAATTTCAATAGTTTTTTTCATAATCTATCTCATTGTCTTTCTTATATTATTGCTAGGCCTGTCTGTATGTGTCTTAAACTTAATCTATCTAATTTTGAATTTATTTGTTCTAATAAATTTAAACATTCTATTACTATTTTTTTTATTATTTTACCTGATTCTAAAACTCTTGATATGTCTCACAAATTTCGTAATCTAGGCTTTATCTTTGATTCAAGTATGTCTCTTTCTTCTCAGATTAATAGTGTTGCTAAAAGTTCTTACTTTCATCTACGTAGAATAAACAAATTTTTGTCTTTTCTTGACGATTCTACTCTTCTCCTTTTTGTTACTTCGTTAGTCTTATCTATGATTGATTATTGTGACTCGCTCTACTATGGTCTTCCTGATTCTACACTCTATCCTTTATGTAAAGCTTTAAACTCTGCTGCTCGTCTAGTTGCTCGTGACCCTTTCTTTTTTCATATATCTCTATATCTTGTTCTCTTGCGCTGGCTCAGGCTACCTATAAAATATAGAATAATTTTTAAAATTTGCCTATTTATGTATAAGTCGCATTATACATTATACATTATTTTCTAAGTACTTATAAATATATTAATTGAATGAACCTAAACGCGCCAGTTTACGATCGTCTTCTTGTTTTCACTTCTTCCTACCCGTGTTAAACACTCTTTTGCTAAATCTGTATTTGCATTTTCTGGCCCTTTTCTATTCCTCTTTCTATCCCTTTTCTATAACTCTCTACCTCCTTTTCTGACTACTTCTCCATCATTTACGAAATTCAGAACGATCTCCAGACCCTTCTGTTTGCAAAATTCACTGAACATCGGAAAATGTTGATTGATTGATTGATTAATTTACTGATCGATCAATCGATCGATAGATAGATTGATTGACTGGCTGGCTGGCTGACTGACTGACTGACTAAATGACTGACTGACTGGCTGACTGACTGACTGACTATTTGTTTCAAACTAATAACAAAAGGCAGTTGCTTATGTAACCCAATTAATTTTTATTATTTTTCCGGGTAACTCTTTTAAGCGAAAATATATTAGTTCAAACTGTTCAGCCGATTTGACACGACTGGGTCCGCCTGTATGATATGCTTAACAATCAGATATTATTTCGTAATTTTTAAATTATTAAATACAAATTTCAAACAAATGTAATTTTCATAAATTTTAATTTACTGTTTTTTTATTTTTTACTTATTATATTATAAGATTATAATTAAATTAAAAAATTAAACCATTAATTATAATATAATTATTATATTAATCTTCCTTTTTATTTATTTGATTTGAAATTTTGAATGTTTTGTGTTTTGTCATTTGTAATTTAGTGCCCTAAATTATATATTGAAGATGGATTGCACCATGACTTCGGCTACTCCATGTAAAGAAGTGAGTTTCAGTACTGAATTTATTGGCCCCAAATAAATCTCTTGGAAAACTTTATTGATGCTATTCAGCTATTTGAGAACTGATTTTTTATCATTATATTATAATTATATTATATTGACTTTTATCTAAATTTTGTGACTTGCATCATAGCATCATATTGTTAATGAGTATTATAATATTAAAATTATATTGATTAATTAATAGTGTTTATTTTTGAATGTTGGTAATACTAAAAAGTTATACTATCGTTATCATTATTATTGATAAAATTATTAAATTAAACTTTTTTTTCAACAGAAGCTCGAGTTCATGGCATGTCTGAATTTGGTATCTACATCATCTATAAAAGGTTTTTATATTTAATTAATAAATAATTTTTGTATTATTCAATGATTAATATTTAATGTGTAAATAAAAAAAATAAAAATTTATTTTTATAGTGTCCCAATAATAGTAACAATACTATTATTGTTACTATTTCTATTTTTCCTTGTAAACTCATTGATGTTGAGTTTTCTTCCTCCTCCTACCTCTCCATCTGTATGTCTCATGCATTCAATCCATGCATTCTATTATTCACATATATCTTAATTTTGTTATTTATTTAAGTTATTTATGAACTTTGCCAGTTCCAATTTTTTATACTTGCAATATGATGTGGTGTGATGTTATACGGTGATGCGATGTATATAGTGTAATGTGATGACTTGATCTGTGATGTGATCTATGATATTATATGCACTGTGATGCTTTGATGTGATGTGATGATGCATGTGATGTAACGTGTTGGTGTTATTTGATAGCCTGGTACATGTGATATGCTAACACTATCCAAATCTTCCAATGCAGAAATCCAAACTCGAAAGTCAGAGAGAAAGAGGAAAAGCACAGCCAATCCACAGTTTTGTTACTTTGAACAGGAGGTTGCATTCCTCATCATTATTATTGGTGTATTTCTATGTCATAATCAACTTTTTTAATGCACTTTTTCTTAATTTCTTAGTTTCAATTTATTATTTAACCCTAACCCCACGGACCACCCTCACAAATCACTCCTCACGGACCACCCACACGAATCACTCACCTAAACCACCCACCAGCCAAGCAGTAGGCATGAGGACAGTTGTTCAGTGTGTCAGAGGAGTGGCGAGTTGTTGATGTGTGACAACTGCAGCCTCATGTACCACCTGCAATGTATCCACCTGATGGCCGTCCCCAGCGGACACTGGACATGTCCAAAGTGTTTGGTTGGTCATCTTTCTTCCTATTTGTCCTGTTTGTTGCATGCTCTTTAAAAATGTGTCGTGAGATAACTTTCATGAAATTTGGTGATTGGATTGAAGCTTGGTGTGAAGTATAATGGTTTGCAGAGTGCCGCAGTTAGCTTGATGTAACTTCAGCAGTTTCACTTCAATTTTTTGGCTGCATAGCACCCACCACACTGCCACTGACATTACATCAATGTAACAACAAAAGTGACAAACCACTTAACAACCGAACAACTCCATCAATTATTATGAATTGAAGTTATTTCATTGAAACTCTCAAATTACTCCTGATTAATATCAGTGCAATTATTTTTATTACGTTGACAAAATGAAGGGAATGATTTTTTTAACAGTCCGGCAGCAAGAGAGCTGGCATCACGACGGGAATGATTGCTGATGACTGGACAGGCAACATAGCTCTCATCCATTCGTACGTCATGCTCAAAACCGGTCTGCCTCTAATGTGTACATTTTTTTCATTAAATGACATTCAAATCAAAATTTCTGTATCGATGAAGACATTCGTTTCACTTCACCTTTCATCATCATTCTTTGAATTTGTCGTTAGCCAAGGAGGAAGAGAAGAAGAAACTGAGTACGTTGTTGTGTGAGCTTGTTGGGAGGAAAAAAATGCTGGAGTTGGAGGTGGATCAAATTAAAGAAAATTTCTTGGTTGGAATAATTCGTTTGGAAACTAACTATTCAGTAGTGATTTAATTTTGTATTTTATTGAAGAAACAATTATTTTATTTAATTCATATATCATATGCTTGATTTCTTATTAGGTTAGGTTTCCAATTCATTAAAATATAAATTTGGGTTTACAGTCAATTGTAATGAGTAGCAACATTTAAATGTCAACTTTGAAGATGAAACAGAATGAGAAGAATGATATGTTGGAGGCATACAATTCATCGCAGGGAATGTTACAAGCCATCCAATCGTTCGTTGCTCTGGTCCAAACATCGTGATCTCCATTTTAGAACTATTTTATTCTTCTCATTTATTTTATACGTTCATTCCATTGTCTCTTTAATAGACATACATACATACATATCACATCTCTTTTAAAATATTCACATTTTAAGATTATGATTTCAGGATCGTCTATCCATGTAACTGTAATGTTTATCCATTCATTTGCCGTTTCAAGTCAATAATTTATATGCCGCTAATTTATTTTTTTCATCATAAATTTTATGGATGATTTTTTTTATAGTTACAACTTTTATGTTTATTTTTATATGTTTTATTTAACTTTTTAACCTTATTTATCTTTTCGTTCGTAAAAAAATTTTTTGACGATGTTCTATGAATCATTTTGCGGTTGTGTTTGTACAATATTTCAAAACATTTTGATTGAGGAGGTGTTCGTACGTGTGGAAACAGGCCTCCATCAACTTCATCTTGTACTCCATCCTCCTGATGTCCAACAAATTCTTCATTTCCTCTGCTGTCATATTTTTTGAGAGCTGGAAAAAATTTTTATTGTACCTATAGACTGGTAACTTGTATGAAATAAATTTGAAAGGTGACAACTTCATCGACGTACAGCGTTCTCGTCCATTCTCAGTTTCAAGCACATCTTCTCTATGCCTTTCTTCGTCACATGGTCTTCCAGCCTGTTTCGAGTGTAAACAGTGTAATGTTTATTATGACAAGTTACTAACTACCTGCTAGATGGTTGTTATATTTATTTATATAGTTATTTTTAAGAACGTTACTTCATTTCTTACAAGTTATTCGCGGTCCTTTCCGATGGTTGACGTTTCGGCTTTCTGCTGCTCACGTGCTTGTCCGTCAATGAGCTCCTCTTTTCACTCAAAATCTGTCGTATTTAACATAACGTAACCATTGCAATGAATTAAAACGCGTAAGAAGCCCCGCAAGCTACGTTCACATCCATCCATCTAATTGTGTTGATCATTAACCAACCTCTTTCGAATACTTGCTCAGGACTTCTTCCAACCCTTCTGAAATTCTGAGCAGCGTCCGATTGACGGAAATCTGAATGTTTCAGTTGAATGTGCTCTTAAAAGCACTTTTTGCTTAACAACGTTAAAATATTTTTTAATTAAGACTTTTAATGCAGATTCCACGTCAAAAATAAAATCGATTGCTGTTGGATCATTTCAATCCTTGAAATATTTGTTTAGATGAACAAAAAGCCAAAAGGTTCCGCCGAGATTTGAACTCGGATTGCTGGATTCAGAGTCCAAAGTGCTAACCGTTACACCACGGAACCACATGTTGATTGACTGCTTATAAAGTGACAAAAATAAATTGATTTTTTTCGTTTCAAATGAAAATTGGGTCAATCATTTGAATTAAAAAATAAACTTGTTTACAATTATTATCACTACTATTTACTTATGATAAGATATCCATTTGTCGACATAATAAAATTTAAAACAACTTCCTCGACGGATTTTATAATGGAAAATTTTTGCTTTGAATGGCTTTTTTAAAATTTTGAAATAAAAATAAATTAAATTAAAACAAAACCAAGTGAAAAAAAAATTAATTTTACACACGTGCAATTTACAATTTACATCGTTACAATCAGTTTGTAAGATGTTAAGCAATAATAGAAGAATACTTCTTAATGAATTAGCGAAACAACTGAGTGGTTGTGTTGCACAGGCGGATACCTTTCCAAACAATTTAATTTAAGCAGCATTACCTTTATTTATTTATTTATTTATTATTATTATTATTAATATATATTAATATTATTATTATATATATAATTATTATAAATATATTTCACCCGTTCTGCACTTGACTTCACAATGAGCAAAATGGTCTTAATCTTTAATATTATTTTATACAATTTTTACAAATTTTATCATTATTATTATTATTATTATTTTATAATGTTGTTTGACTTGTTAATGTACGTAACATGTTAAATAACGCACGTAATGTTATTTTATGGTATATCTGTTTCTTTGAATGTATAGCGCTTAATAAGACATGTAAACAACACGACATACCAAAGAATTGTTGACATTGTCCAAGGCATCGTGAAGTGCACAATTGTTGGAAGGTTGGTTGTCTTCCTTCTTATGAAAACTTGAGTTCCCATTTAAAAAACATTTGAAATCCATCTTATCAGCCATTTTATACTTTCCAACATAACCATTTGGAGTCACGTTTTTATTGTCAATAAAACTACTCGGATCGGTGACACCCAAAAATTCGCAGCTTCCAACACCATCCATTATTGATCGGCCTACCAAAGTTCGCTGAACAGGCAATGTAGCAAAGTTAAAAGTTTTAAAGAGAAGTTTGCGTGTAACCATGGTATTTCAATAGGCGTCGGTGGTGAAATGCGCTGTGTTGGTTGAATTAAACATTGTCGGACACAGACTATAGATACGAACCTATGTTTATTGTTGTGCTATTTAAAACTATATAAACTTTTTTTACTAATTTGTAATAAAAATTAAAAAAATAAGTTTTTACGAACCCCTCCCCACTTGTCACAAAGTGTCAAATTTTTCATCCACTCCCCCTCGTCTTTAAAGAAGGTCCAAAGACTCATCTTTTCAACACAGCCTCCGTTTATCGATTGGTTAATTGATTCGATTTTATTAATTAATTAATAAACTGACTAACTGATTAGTTATAGATGATTAGTCAGTTGGGTTGCTATGTTACACCCTTTTCTAGTAACAATCAATTGCATGGATACCTTCTTCGAACGCAAAGTGATCCAGAACTACTGTTATGTTTTTTCACACGTTGCCTGCGATTAGTTGGGGATCTGTTCGCATTTGAATTCAGTCAGTGCAATAGCAGTGCAGGGCATCTTAACCATTACACTACCGAGATGCCCAATCTGAATTATGACCTTCTTCGAATCCAACTGTCATTGTTTACTTTTTAAACAAAAATTTTCGGAATTTTTTATGAGTGCATTCATATTTATAGTGGTATGTGACGTTGTTGAATTTTAACCTTCTACTCAGCGGAGTGAGCAATAGCAATTAAAATATAATAAAATTATAAATACTAATACTAATAATAATATAATAATAATATTAATAATAATATTAATGATTCAAAGGTTAATAGATAAAGGTTTTCAAAACATTTTTACGAATTAATTTGAAGAAATTTTTTTTGCGAAATCCTTGATATTATTAACTTGAGTCTGTTATTCTTATTATTGAAATTGAATTACTGTTATTATCGTTATATTATTATTATTACTACTATATTTTGATTATTATTATTATTATTCAAAATCTCCACATGTTAACTAGATGTGCAAGCGGTTTTGGTATAATCTAGTGACGTTTCAGTGCTTCTGCTTATAGTTCAATTTATTTTGTTTATAGATGTGTGTGTATGTGTATATATACTAACGCTATCAAAAGCATTCATCATCATCGTCGCCACCATCACCATTCTTGTCATCATCATTATCATGACCATCCTCACCATCTTGACCATCATCATCATCATCATCATAACCACAGATATGGTCGCAAAACTGTTCTGCTTGCGTCTCACGTTTTGAAGTTGTTCGGTGAGTTACTTTATTTATCACCATCGTCTGTCGCTAAGTTTTGAATACGATCCGTTCGCTCCAAAGTCAAATGTTCTACCGCTACACTATGAAATTTACGCTTCTGTTTATTCTACAACCATTCGTTACGGTGATGAGGAGCATTTGAGTACGTTTGTACTTAAGCGCCTACATAAGTACCGACATTTTCACGTAAATATTCATACATAAGCTGAAGAAGCTAGGTTATAAAATGTAACAGACGCACAGCACCACGTGTTGTGTATTAAATTTTGCAGACAGGACATGGAGGAATTTCTATTTGAGTACATTTTATGGGTACTCACCTCAGCACTAATTTGTTGATATTATTATTGATAAATTTTCCATTTCATATGCTGCATCATTTATTTATTTACACCTTCCTTCGTCCATCAATCCATTCTTTTATTCATTTGTTTGTCCATTCATCTATCAGGTAGTGTCTTCTCCTTGTACTCACCCAACTACAGAGCATTCAACTTTTCCAGGTTCATCATCGCGTTTGGATCCACGGCCAAATATATGGCCGCCTTTGTGCTTTGTGAATTGGTTGGTTGAATGGTTGGCTGGTTGGTTGGCTGATTGGTTGATTGGTTGGCTGGCTGATTTGTTTGCTAAATACATAATTGATTGGCTGGTTGGCTGATTGTTTTATGGTTTGAATGATTTCTTGAGAAGATGATTGATTCCGTTCTAACGTCACATGGCTTTGCTATCATAATTTCCGTCACCTTTCATCTCATCATCATCTGCATCATCATCATTGAGATTGACATCATCATCCTCATCATTAAATATTTCTTCATCCAACAACGACATCTTCTTTGCCTTACTTAACTTTTTAATTTCGTTATTATTATTATCATCGCCGTGTTCTGGAAAAATAATTCAGATTATTAATAGCAGAAAATTAAATTATTATTAAATTTAATTATTAATTTAATTAAATTAATAATTAAAAAATTATTAAATTTAAATAAATATTAAATTAAAATTATTATTCATTAAAATTATAATGTGAAAGCAACTCCAGTTTTTTAACCCCATAGGGTTGACCTCACGAGCGCGGTTTTAAAATGCGTTGTGTCAAATATTTTTATTTTAACTGAAACCACAATGCCAATTTTGCAATATAAACCTTTTTCCATTTAAATTATGTTTTAAGTTTTGATATAAATATTAATTTATTACTAGCTCTGGCTAATGGCCAATCTCATTTAAATCATTAAATACTAAAAAACACACACAAAAGGCTGACGAAATAATCGGAATATTAAAACAATTTATACTTTATCTGAAGACCAGTTCTTTCTTGATTAATTCTGAAATGATTCAGCAGCCAATCAAACATAGTACGGTTTTAATCTGGATATCTCACACACACACACATACACACACAAATCACATTAATAACTGAATGACATTTATTACAGAATCACATTAACTACTGAATAACATTAATAAACAACATGATGAATAACACCATCACATTAATTACTGAGTCACAAGTGTTACTGAATCACATTAGTTACAGAATCACATTAATTACTCAGTTACATTAAATACAGAATAACATTAATTACTCAATAACATTAATTACTGAAAGCATCAAAACATAAATATCAATCGTCTTCATTCGATTTTATATTTTTAATAAGTTTGAAATTTTACAAATAGCAAAAATTTTACATAGAAAGCATGGTAACAATGAATTTAACCATACCTACATGAAACTGAATCGTCTTCATTTGGAATTTATATTCTCAATGTCAGAAACAAACAAAAAGTTACAAGTTGCACAAATTTCACGTTGAAAAAGTACAGTTGCTATGAATAGTGCCTCCGCTAAATATAATATAATGAATGCTTGTGGGCAAACATCGTCTAATGTATGATTCAAACGAGAGAGATTTGGCGAAATTTTTCGCTTCAAGTTTAGATGAAAAAATAAAATTCAAATTTTAAAATGTTTAATTATTAATGCTTAACAACTATTAAAAATAGAAAGGTATATCTAATATATATGGAGAAAAGAAAGTTGACAAATGAACATCGGTCAACACCTTCCTACAAGTTACGCTTCGCCATCATCCTGCAGTAACTAACAGGAGAGTAAGCGTAATCAAACGATGAACCATAAACTCCATTCAAACGCTGGTAGTAACAACTGTTGTACCAACTTCCAGATGAATACTGAAACGCGCAGTGGTATGCTGAGAAAAGATCGTTGTCTTGATCTGGCGAAGAAAACTTCATTCCATTATGAACGTACAATGGATTCGGATGGTTCAGAATATCACATTTATCTCCTCTGTATCCAGAAACGTTGAGAAAGTATTTTTGAAATTCTGTGCCTACCTACAACATTATTTTATCGTTTAAATCGTGTTGATATTTTAACGTTTTATAGTTTTAGTGAAATTTTTATGGGTGAAACTGGTAAAAAAATTACTTTTAGAATCATTAAAAGTTAAGAATTTAGGTATTAAAAATTAACAAACTTTGAAATGATCATACTCATCGGAGTACCATTTACCACTGACGAGTACTTCAAATCTTAACCTGTAATCAGCCGATGTCGTTAATTGATGCATCTTCTCCAAGCCTAACCAGAAGTTTTTGTTGTAAGTTCCAAATCCGGACTGTCAAATTATTTTATTAATCCAATTTAACAAGCGTTTATTGATAATGGTTTTTTTGTACTAATTACCTTGTACGTATTCCAAGTTTGGTTGAAACTCTGCGAGCCATCAATCCTCTGCTGAATGACAATCCACTCATTGACGGACGTGACAGGAGTTGAGTTAGCAAACGTTGGAATGTTCAACAGGATTGTTTCGTTGACTGCATTGTAGGCTGTTATGCATTAAAAATTAACTTTATTTTTCTATTGTTATAGTTGGATTAACATTTTCATCAAACCTCATCATTATCAAACACAACGGTTATTAATAAAAACCTTGAGGATCGAGACAGATGGATAACTGCCTGTTAGCAGTGAGACACATGTAGAGAGCACAAGGATTGTTGATGCCGGGTAGTGAGTTGGAACAAGAGTAGAACAATCCACCGTTGAAGGTGAATGGAAAGTTGCAGGATTTGCTCAGGGTCAGAGAATCATTGGTAAGTTCTGAAAAATTGTAGCAGCAACTTTGTTTCAATTAAAAGGCATAGATATTGAAATTATTTCAAGTTTTGCTGTTTGTATCCAAATTATTATCAATCAAGTTATGCGCATTAGTTGGTTAGTAAGAAATGAACTCTAAATTCGTTTATGAGAACATGTTAAATATAAGTTAGATAGTCAAGGTTTATTTAATTAAAACCAACTTAAAGCTTCTTTGGCATCAAAATCCTGATAATAAAATTTAAAAAAAATTTGTTCGATTGTCAGCCTTTGAGAATATTTAAATAGCATATAATAAAAAAATAACAGCCACTGATCCAACCGCGTATGCTCGGCAGTGAGTTTCATTCAGAACAATCTTGAAATGGACATCGCAAGTGAAATGAAACAGTTGGCAATATTTAGCTGGATGACTAGCATTGTTGGATATGTAGTTGAATGCGTTGCAAATGTTGTTATCATCAGTGGGAGTAACATAATGAGAACATTTGGTAGAACATTCCATTAAGGATCGTATGTTGGTTAGTACTCTGGTAGGTACGGACGCAAAACACGCTGGGTTGTCTGGATCTCCTATCATTCCATACTTCTTATCAACTGCTGAAGCTAACCAGTTAACTGATGTTGATAATAAAACAATGATTGATATATACCAAATCAACAACATTTTTAGCAAATTTTAAACAATTTTGTCCAATTTGTAACTGGCAATTTGACTTATCATCAGAGTTTACTAAATATATTTAACTTCTTTTTTCGTCTGCGTTAATTAAAATAATTCATATTATTACACGTCGTGATTGTTCATTGTTCACAGCAGACGCACATACATCAATTATTCATAATATCTATCTAATTCAAGTAAATTTTTACAAAAAAGTTAATTATTAAAGCCAATGAAATTATTTGGTTGAATTTACGAAGTTCGGTAATTAAATTTTAATCCATAATGGAAAAAGCTCGCGATCAACCTCCAATTGTTGGAAGCGGTATGCATGCATATTTCATTAACTTCATTTTTTAAAATTACTTTTGTTATGTTTGTGTGTGTATGTAGGGTGTGTTTCTGTGTGTGTGTGTGTGTTTTCAACAATTATTTCTATTATTTTTTGGACTATTATTAACTGCTCTCTCTCTCTCTCTCTCTCTCTCTCTCTCTCTCTCTCTCTCTCTCTCTTCTTTCTCACTTTCTCTCTGTCTTTAATTATATCTTTCGCTTAGACCTTAAGCCTTTTTTGGAAATATGAAAACTTAAAACAAAATCTGTCAAATCTATCAAACGAATGGTTGATTCAGTTGGAATTATGATTTGTCATTGTCATGAGAGGTCTTTTTTCTTTATTATGACACTAGTGTTGCGTAAAATGAAACCATCTACATTTGGGATTGTTAAATGTCAAATGTTGGCGTGAATATTTAGCAACAGGATGTTGGATAAACGTTTAAGAGCACGCAAAAATTTTGAAATAATGAAGAGTTTAAAAACTTGATATTATTATTCAAACTAATTTCAAACTGACGTTTGTCTTAAAAACTATGGAAAATAAATAGAAATGTAAGTTGTTTCGCTATTTCATTTTAATCCTACATAAATTATTGAAATAACAGTTTGTCACGAAAATGATGTAGAATATAGGTACATTTGTTTGGTTAATTCATTTATTAATAAATCATTCTAAACTAACGATTAGTTAAATTAATGTTTTTATGATTTGAAAACTAACTAAACTAAATTTCCAAACTAAATTTGGTTTTCTCAAGCTTAATTTTTCATTGCTCATCATAAAATATCAACATTGTCTTAGTATGATATCAGGTTTAAAGTATTTCAATATCAGGTCATTCAATTCAACTTGATCATCATCCTGCAGTAAACGAGTTGACGCCAAGTTCCAGTTTTAGCTGTGTAGTACATTCTATGCGTCCCACCATAAATTCCATTCAAATTTATGATATAACAATAATTGAACCAGAAACCAGAACTGTGTTTAATGGCGCAATTGTCGGCCGTGTCGTGATCTGGAGTTGAAAACCTTGCGGCATTTTGACAAAGTTTTTCACCTTCATTCATCACATCCAAGTTATTCCCACAGTATCCGGACACATGTACTGTGTAATTCGAAACTTCCGAATCAATCTAAATGAAATTAAAATACATATTATATTTATTAAAAATAAGTTAATAGAAAGGGTTATCTTTCTTTGAAGCTGTCATATTCATCCAGCAACCAATCACCATCCACAAAAACTTCAAATCTCAATATCTGGCTGGCCGAGTTGGTCAGCTGGTAGATTTTCTCCAATCCCAACCAAAAATTAGCATTAAATGTTTCGAAACCTGTCTGAGATTTTTGAACAATTCTGGACTTAAGGGAAATGTTATATAAAAAGATTTTTTTCTAAGAAATTAAAAAAAAACGTTCGATTTGCTTTAGTTGTTAACGTTTTATTCCAATTCACTAAAATTAAACCTTTTGCAATAAATTTTCTTCGAACACTTACTTTATATTTTGCCCAATTCTGAGTGAAACTTTGCGATCCATCAATTCTTTGCTGGATGACAATCCATCCGTTGACCGATAGCACAGTAGTTGGTGATGGAAAAGTTGGAACGGTCAACAAAGTTGTTGCGTTATAATCTAAAATCGAATTTCCAAAAATCAATATTCGCAACTTTCTTAATTTACTCAACTTTGAAATACATTCCGATAAACAATTTAAGATAAAACGTACCTGACGGATTGAGACAAACAGCCAAACTCCTGTTGGCTGTGATGCTAAAGTAGGTGGAACAGGGATTAGGAACTCCAGGCAATTAGTTGGAACAATTGTGAAACAGACCATCGTTGTATGTGAATGAAAAGTTGCATTGGGAGCTGTTGATTATTATATCTGGGACAAAAATGTTTAAGTTTTTAATACTTTGCACATGCTCATTATTTCAAAAAAATAACTTGTGGAATAACTCTAAACTTAAGAAAATTGGAAGCGTGCTTCTATTTAACATGAATGAAAATTTCAAAAATGTAGCATTACTTTTAATTATTTAATTTTAAACAGAACAGTTTAAATTTTAAAAATTAATTTTCATTTTTCGATTGAAAAAATCGTTACATACCTGTTTCTGGGACAGTAGAATATGCGTTTCCAAAAGCAGCTGTTAAATTAATTGTGAAAAATGAAATAAAATGATGTTTACTGAACGATTAAAGAAACCTACCTACTGCTTGTCTTGCTTCTATATCCTAATTTAGAAAAAAATTGTTATTTTATGAAATTAAACTGAATGAAAAATTTTTCGTAAAAAATTAAAAATTTTAAAAATGTTTTTCAACATCGTATCCACGGGAGAGGCAAACTTTCGGCAGGACTTCAAATTGTTGATTGCAGGTGAAACCAAACAGCTCACATTGCTTAGCCGAACCATTGCCGTCATCTGCCTTGTAGTTGAATGCGTTGCAAGTGATGTTATCATCAGTGGGAGAAACATATTGTGAACATTTAGTAGAACATTCCAGTACTGATCGTATGTTGGTTAGTACTGTGGTAGGTTCGGAAGCAATACACATGGGATTGTCTGGCTCTCCTATCATTTCATACTTCTTATCAAATGCTGGTGCTAACGAGTTGCCTGATGATAATAAATTAATTAGGAGAATAATTTCATTCAAACACATTTTAATATCTTGCTGTTTACGTTAAATTTTGCTAAAAAGTTGTTTTTATGTTGTAAAAGTTCTGTTTACAAAACCTAAAAATGTTGCGAAACTTCAAATGTTTGCTTAACATCCACTGTTTGTTACTCATTTGCTAAAGATAAGCCATAATCATCTGCAATAAAAATTTTAAAATTTGAATTTAAAATCACGATTGTATTATTATATTTTTGCCAAATACTGTTGCCAAATACTGTTGCCAAATACTAATGAAATATACTGAAATATTCATATCGTAAAATTTCCCATTCCAAAATCTTTCATTATAAGAGGCACTGACATTATATTAATTAAATGATAATTAAATATGTATGTTACAGTATGTAATTTACGATCATATTTTGTTGGCGTTAAAAATTAAAACTGCATTTTACTGGGTTTGTTCGTCTGTTCGTTCATTTGTTCGTTCGTGTGTTCGTTTGTTCGCTCATTGTCGTTTGTCATAATAAAAATATTTGAAAAACTATTCAAAATATGTTTATAATAGTTTGTCATAGAATTTTTGTTTAATATTTTGTTATAAACGCACTGAAATGAACACAAACTACTGAGAAACGATTCAGTTTATTGTTGATTACTGCAAAAAACTTGTTTATAGACTCCAGTTTTGCTAATATAATTTTAGATATGAAATATTTAGCATTCCAGTTTTAAATAAATTTTTTTTAACAAAATATATCAATATCCTCTAAACTTCCACAGCATTCATCAAACGTTTGCTCATTTATTGCTAACTTATGAATGATAACTCCCTGAAAAACCAATAAAATGTATTGCAGATATGATTACACAAAGTCATGACAAAAATGATTAAATATAAGTGTGCGTGCATGTGTTTGTGTGTGGTGTGTGAGTAGTGTGTGAGTGTGGTGTGTGTGAGTGTGGTGTGTGTGTGGTATAGCGTATAAATAGCTACATTTCAAATTACAAATTTGATTGAGTTTTTTTTTAAGTATATAAATTGATTGGAAAAACATATGAATTGTTTGGAAAAAACATGCGTAAAAAACCAGTAAATTAGTTTTAGGTTTTAAGCGATCGGAACAAGTTTTAAGCTCTCAAACCATCTTGATCATCATCCTGCAATATGTGACTGGAGACCAAGTATTAACTCTAGCAGTGAGGTACATGTCCCATAAACACCATCCAGGTTCTAAGCGTAGCAGTAGTTGTACTAATTACCTGCGTGATAACTTTGGCTACAGTTTCCACGATTTGGAGTGCTGTCCTGGTCCGGAGTTGAAAATTTCATGCCGTTGTGAAAACCTGCTGATGCACCGTATGGTGGTTGGTTCAAAATGTCCAAGTTATCACCGCTGTAGCCAGAGACATATATCGCGTATTGGAGAGATTCTGGGTCGATCTAGAAGCAAATCAAATGAATATACTTCAATTCTTAATAACAAATACTTTTACTTGTAAGATTAAAGTGGAAATCATTGGAAGCCGGTAGGAAGTTTCGCCTTGAAAATGTCATATTCATCCGATATCCAGTATCCTTTGGAAAGAACTTCAAAACTTAGTCTGTAATTGGTCAGTTGAAAAATTTTCTCTAGCCCAAGCCAAAAATTGGTATTGTATGTGTATATGCCTGAATATGTTTTCGAATTTTAGTATTAACAAAAAAGTTGATATAGGTTTTACATAAAATATTCAAAAGTATTTCAGTAATTCAAAAACTTTGTTTCATACCTTATAAGTTGTCCAATTTTGATCGAAACTTAGCGAACCATCAATTCTCTGCTGGATGACGATCCATCCATTGACAAACGTAACATGAGTTTGTGATGGAACGTAGAACAGGCCACCGTTGTAAGTGAATGGAAAGTTGCATTGGGAGCTGTTGATTATCTGGAATGCTTCTATTTAATATACAATTTTCTTGAAACCTAACCAAGAAATTTTTTTTTAAAGTATGATTTATAAATTTTCAAATTTTGATAAAGAAAAATATTTTAGCGTTAGTTATTTATGAAATATATGAGGTGCTGTAGAAATCAATTTGATGGTTTGGCCGAAATTAACATATCACCAAATTTTTGTTTATGCCATAAAGATTCCTTTTTATAATTTGATTATTTATAAATAATTGCTAAAAATAAAACACATAGAATGATACAAGGATTGTTTTTAAATTTACAACAAACCATTCTCTATAGCCGAATTACCATCAGACGCTGAAAAATTCATCAGTTAATTAATTAAAGATATGTGAAAATTTACTTAAATGGGTGAAAAAATTGACATCCCAAACCTAATCTTTCCCTGGCTTCAGCATCCTTGAATTTGTAAAAAATTTTAAATCGTTCCATTTCATTAAATAAGTTTACTATTCATAAGTGATTTTCAATGCTCATAGTGAACTTTTTTGACCATGCTAGGCTAGACAACGTTCTTTCAAATTTGCCAAGCACGGCTTACGATCAAAAATGAAACCTCATGGAGACCATCATATAAAACAGTGTAATTGCATCACGTAGGGTTTCGTTTGCATTTGAACAAGGTCACTGGCATGCTAATACAACACCAATTAAAATGTAAAAATATTGAATTGCTAGCGTACCGTATACCATTTTAATTTTACATGTGCATTATGTGTATTTTGAAAAAATTATAAAATTGATAATAATTTAAAACGAATAAGGAAAGATACGAACATTTTTCACAAATTCAAAATCAGCCACGAAATGAAACCAACCTCAAAAGAATAACATTGATTTATTTTCAGAACAATCTTGTAATTAACATTATAAGTGAAATGAAACAGTTAGCAATATTTAGCTGGATGATTAGCATTGTTGGATATGTAGTTGAATGCGTTGCAAGTGATGTGTCTAGCACATTCAATAGAACATTCCAGTAACGATCGTATGTTGGTTAGTAATGTGGTAGGTTCGGAAGCAAAACACATGACATTGTTTGGCTCCCCTAACATTCCATACTTCGCATCAACTGCGGATGCTAACTACGGAACTGATGTTAATAATATTGTTTGTGAAAAAATTTGGTTCAGCCGCATTGGTACAACTTTGCAAGTTTGAATAAGGAAAATTATAAATATAAATAAAAAATTGAGTTATTTTTTTTCTTAAAACCATATATTAATTCAAGTTCTACTTTCAACACTTTCTGTAAGTACGTTTAGCTATCTTAAAACCAAATTTTATAAAAATTTTTCTTGTCTAGTAGCTAATATAATGTAATTAACATTTTAATCTCAAATTCGACAATATTATTGCAATAGCCCAAAAACGGATTAAATCGATCAATCTATTTAAACAATTAGACAATATCATTGTCGTTTAACATACAACTGCCATCATTTGAAACAATGCAAACCTACCATCCTACTTACAATACAAAAATGATGGAAAATTCCGAATCAATATGTGCGCCTAATTTAGTGTTGTTTTATGAGGTTCCGAGTTTTAAAACGGATAACGAATAATGACAGCACTCTTAATTGCTACGAGCAATTTGATTGGTCGGTTTATATCGAAATTATGTTGACGTCATAGTTACAATTGTTTTTAAGGTAGATGTTAACTTTTGTATCTCAACTGTAAATTTTTGCAATTAAGATACCAAAACATTGTTATTATTTCGGCAGGGCTTCATTTTAGTTTTGAAATTTACGAATTTGACGTTAGGTAGGTTGTAAATGTGATGTGGATATCAAAAGAAGGAAAGGTATCTATGGCAAAGATGCATATTCTGAAATGAAAACATCCTCACCAACAGTGAAATCAGAGTATCAACAAAATTAAAACTGTTAGGGTGTTACATTTTTCCTGTGCTAACTTACGGCTCTGAGTCCTGGACAATTTCTAAGGTAATGGAGAAAAAGATTAACGCTGCTGAGATTTTGTTTTTGAAAAGAATTATGAAAATTAGTTGGACCTCTTATACTTCGAATTAGGATGTATTAAAACAGTTCGGATATGAAAAGAGGAAATTACTACAAATAATCCGACGGGGGCAGTTAAAGTTTTTTGGTCACATCATGCGGAAGGAAAGAATGGAAAATCTAACTACTACTGGAAAGATTGCAGGGAAAAAAGATCGCGGTCAACAACAAATAACATTCGTGAAGTTCTTGTGTCACTTGTTGAACATCACCACATTTCAACTTTTACAGTTTTGTATTCGGAACAAATTCTGCGTCTTTCGAAGTCTGATTTTATCAAGAATAAACAATAAACAAAGTTGAACAAATTAACTAAAATTAATATTAATAAATAAAAATTAAATTAACTTTGTTATGACTTAATTTTTCTAACGACCCTAAATTGTGTTTTTAGACAGATTCACCGTAGCGAGTTTAAGAAAACTCTATATTTATAAGTTTCCAGTCATCGTGCATTCCAACTGGCGTGCTTCAGTGGTCGGATATTTTTTTTGTTGGATTTGGAATTTTTTGGTGAGCTTGTTTTGAGCGGATATTTTTCATCCGACTACAAAAAATGTTATGAATTTGAAAATTTTATTTTTTATTATAAAATTTTTTTAAAGATCTTGTTTTTTAGAAGATAAATATGTGTAGCGGTACTGAAAATAAAGACTATTGTACTACTAAAGGGAATTAAATAAATGATTTTTTTGGTATGCTTAAAAACATAAAGTAATTTTACTGAGTAAAACAGTTAAATTTACTGATTCCAAATGTTTTTAAAGTTATGTTTATCTGGTAGTAAAAATAAGGTAAAATAATGATACTAAAATTGAAAATTTTTCGTGTCGGAAGTCAGAGTCGAGAGTTGGAATATTTTAAAGGATCGGAATCAGAAGCCGATATTTTTCCTCCAACTCTGACACCTCTTCAATTAGTTTTTATAGATCTTTTTTATGTTGATTTCGTTTAATTTAGCTATAATATTTCATTTAGAATGGTATCGCCGAAAGTTAATATTTAAATGATCTGATTTTGAACTGTTTAATTCAATAATTGTTTTCCAGAACATGTTCACCCACTCAGACACATTCCACCCGATTGCACCAGATGTCATTTTCAGATCTCGTGTATAGCTGCAAGTTGAACTCTTTCATAAATTCCATTGTGGCTTTTTGAATTAAGGTAACGATTAAACCAGGTCAGTGTTGATTCTTTGTGGCTCCATTCTATGCTAAGCAGTTCCCCATTTGAGTTCAAAATTTTTATCAACAACGGAGTTAAAACATATTCAAAATCGTTAATGTTTGGTTGAATTTGTTAATTTGTTATCGATGCTGGTTGTTACCAATGAATTCCACTTGACCTCATCGTTGACTTGCAGATGTTGGCGTTCATCTTTTTTGTGCCTCAACTTTCGCCGAATACTGCTTGGAATTTCACTGCTTGAATTAAAATGAATGTGTGACTTTGTTGCTGTTTTTGTTTCCAGTGGTCCGTGCGCTGATGTGATCTCGTCAGTGAGTCAAACAGAGGTGTTGAACTGTTTCTGTCCCATTCACTAGAGAAGTTTATTCATGCAAAACAATTCAACATTAATCCAGTAATTATAAGCTTGTCAAATTGAAATCAAAAAGGCAAAAATACCACGAGCATACATTAATGAACATCTGCCATAACAATTTTGTTAAAAATCAACAATTTTAAGACTACGCAAAAAAATTACAAAAATTAAAAAAAAATTGATCAAACAAACAAACAAAAAAACAAACAAAAAAACAAACACGAAAAAATTTTTTGGCTATCAGACCTCAACAACCAGCACACGTTCACTTCAAGCATATGTTCGATCAACACAGCAAATTCTAACAATCCGTTGTAAAGAGAATCACCTCTTAACGGTCTCCCACTGTTAATTTCAATTAGAAAGTTTATTACACGTGCCTATAATCGATCGTTCGAATGTTGAGCGACATCAATTAAGGTGACTAATCATTTCCAATCTAGACTATCACAACCAGATTATTAATGACCTTTCTAACAAACACATCGCTGGTTCCACGCCGTCAACTACTATATAAGCTGCAAATGTCTCGTTAGTACCTGAAAAATTTCGAGTTAAACTGGTTATAACATCTGCTTGCAAACATTATCATATTTTAAATTACAAGAGCGTTTCATATAAGTGAATGAAAATGGCCAGACGAGTATCATTCCTGTTGTTCAACGAGGTGGATCAGAGTTACCAGGTTTATAGCAACATTTCTGACGAAGGACTTCCAATCAAATTTGTTGAAACAGTTACTGAACCATCAACTGACGCAACACAAAGCGTGAAACGAAAGTCAATATTGAAAGAATCAAGTAGATCAGTTGAACGCACTGAGCCAGTGAATCCCGAATATGATACGACGAACAACGACGATACGACGAACAACGAAAAATACATTCATCCTTCCAACAATTGTTCTACGTCAAATAATACAAAAGAGGCATTGCATTCATTATGCTGCTGCTGTTTATACAGAGAATGTAAAACCCTCGAGAACACGAGCAACAGCCAGCAGGAACGTACGACAACAAACAAAACATCTTCATCGAAACGTCTGTCCAACATCATCAACAAAAGAAGAAACAGCATCAACCATTCACTACTGAGATGCTTCCAAGTTGTCACAAACGATGGAAGTGAGGACAGCGATGATGGCATTGAGGAAATAACATTCCCATCTTATGAAACTAGTTGTTCATCGAGCTCTTCAGCTGACACCAATGTAACATCACTTGCGAGCTGTTCTTTTATAAATGCACAATTATTTGGAAATATCAAGTACATAGACGACGAAGACAATGAAAATGTTCAAAGTCGTATTGAGCCAACTTTTGAAATCCTCTCAACAAGCAGTTATTCAGGAGATCAGGGCATCGACCTCACTGGCGACACCACACCACAACAGATCACTTCAACGTCACTCGACGCATCCACAAGTAATTTGAGCAACTATTTCAGCGATGCTTCAAACGCATCCACACTTTCTTCAGCCACTTTACCAAGCAACAACACCTCGAACACAACTATCAACTGCCTGAACTTGAAAGAAGGTTGTTACGAAGTTACTTGCGATCCATCTGGTTGTTTAGTTGAGGTCATCTGCACGTCTCATGAGTTGCATTTCAAATGTCCTTGCTGTTCAGCTGTTAAAACAATGCAACCTGGACTCAATTATTACTACTTGTTGAAGCACATCTTCGACGAAGACCATCCTCATAAGATCATGCAACAACTCAAGAACTGCATCTGTTCATCGGTTGAGGCTGACAAACAGGAGAACTACGAAACAACGAGAACAAAAAATTCTCTGCCTAGAAGAGTGGCAAAATCTCTTGTTGGTCGATTTAGACGTTTGAAGCAACAGAATGGTTCTGGTGCTAAGGTTTCACGGAAGCAATGCGTTTTGTGAATATTTTATTAATTTGTTGTTTTTAATAACATTTTTTTTTCATATTTTGTTCCTGAATTTTTTAATTTATACCTAATAAATTGTATATAATAAATACATTTTTTCAATGAAGATACTATAATAGTATTATAACATTGTCGTTAAATAGTTTTGCGCACGTTCTAATCAATAAGAATATTAAAATTTACTAAAATTAATATTAAAATGTCTTATTTTTCATCACAACATTCAAGGCTTTTCAATTTGGAGTAGTAATCACTGCAATATTTTATTTTCTAAAAATGCTGAAAAATTGTTTTAAAATATTTATTTATTTCCTTAGGTGATTTATCAAATATCTAGAAATTGAACTTTTTTGATAAAGGTTTACATATTGAACGACTTACACTATACCATTCAATTCTGTTAATTTTCTTCATTTTATAATATAGTCTTGCTTTCATAACAGTCCCTTGGAGTCTGATTTTATAAAGAATAAAGAATAAACAAAATTAAACAAATTTAAAAAAGTTAATATTACTTTAATATTAAAAAAGTTATTCATCAACTAAATACACAGTTTTTGTGGAGGTCGATGGTCGCCAATGTCCTGAAGGGATAAGGTATGAGAAAGAAGATGAAAAAGAAGGTTTAGGTCTTATGTACCGAATTATAATACAAGATATTTTTATTTTTTAAAGTTTTAAAATTACTGTTTAGTGTATTGAGTATAATAAACAATAGTTGAAGCAGTAATTTGTGATATGTTTTGTCAGAATGTTTGATTTTATTGCATAGCAGCTTTTTCAGATGTTTTTTCTAGTTGAATTTTTTTTGATATGTTGAATAACCTTGCTGGATTGGTCTAATTAGTTAGTTGGTCAGTTGGTTGGCCAGTCATTTGGTTGGTTTGCTGGTTGGTTGATTGGTTTGTTGGTTGATTGATTGGTCGGTCGGTCGGTTGGTTGGTCGGTTGTTTGGCTGATTGGTTGGTCGGTTGATTTGTTGGTCGGTTGATTGGTTGGCTGGTTGGTCAGTTGGCTGGTTTGTCAAAATTTCTTGGACTGTTAGTTGGCCGTTTTTCCACTTCATTTTATAATCTCTTAAATCCCATCTTAACCTGCATGAAAATTTTGTGGACTAACAATTCTTTTTACAAAATTATTTTCTCCATCTATAATTGCAAATTTATGAACACTTACGACAATGTAACTTAACCTATGAATGAAATGTCATAGCTATGCTTCAACTTCTAACTAAAAACAACTTGTCTATAGAAATATCTAGAAACTAGAATCTTGTAGTAGTTGTCTGGTTTGAATCAATAATTTGATTAATAAAATAATAAAATAATTAATAATAAATACGAATAAATAAGAATGATATTCATGATACAATAGGCCTTAATATAACTCTTTTTCCAATAGTATCAGTTGTAATAAGAGGACTGTGATCCCCATCTTATTACTAATAACAGTAGAAACAACAACAATAATAATATCAACAACAATAATAACAACTACAATAATAACTACAATAGTAACAATAATAATAACAACAATTGCAACAACAACAACAATGAGAACTCTTTTATTTCTTCGAAAGCCAAAATATAAATGAAAATTACAATAAAATATAAAATGATCAAATATTAAAACAGTTGAAAAATTAAAATAATGTATAATTTAACATCAATGCTCGTCATTATGAATGTGTACAAAGGTGATGAAATAATATAAAAACTAGAGTCAAGACTTATTTCTGCCAAAATATATTGCGTAAGTAGACGCTATCGCAGAATTGATTAAGCTAGATCTAAAATCGTCAAGCCAGTTTATTTTAGCTTGAGATAATTTGAAAGAATTATAAAGTCCTTTTTTTTCTTCTCGGGGTTTGGCGGTTTTCTTGTTTGTCAGTCTAAACTAATGAACAGATGCAGTTCTTGAGTTACTGCATGATCTTATGAGGATAGCCTTCGTTGAAAATGTGCTTCAACAAGTAAGAGAAATAATTGAATCCAGGTTGCATTGTTTTAACAGCAGAACCAGCGATGTGTTTGTTAGAAAGGTCATTGTTCAATTAATAATCTTATTGTGATCGTCTAGATTGAAAATGATTTGCCATCTTAATTGATGTCGCAAAACATTCAAACGATCGATAATTGGCACGTGTAATAAACCTCATAATTGAAACTAACAGTGGGAGACCGTTGGGTGGTGGTTCTTTTACAACTGATTGTTAGAATTTGCTGCTGTTGGACATATGTTTGAGTTGGACATTTGTTGAAGTGTAATGGCCAAATGAATTTTCAATGTACGCATATTTTTTGAACCTTATTTAGCAATTTTCTGTTATTTATTTTTTGCGTAATTTTTAAATTTTTGTTACAAAATAAGTTTTATAGAGATGTTAAGAAATGTATGCTCATGGTTTTTGTTATATATTTTGTTTCAATTAGACAAGGTTATAATTACGGCAAAAATAACCAATCTCTTGACTCTAACGCTTTCTGATTTGCTATGCATGTTGATTTGTTATCGCATCAATGGAACAGAAACAGTTCAACACCTCTGTTTGACTCACTGACGAGATCACATCAGCGCACGGACCACTGCTCAATCGGTAATTCAAAAAGCCACAATGGAATTTTTGAAAGAGTTCAACTTGCAGCTATACACGAGATCTGAAAATGACATCTGGTGCAATCGGGTGGAATGTGTTTTTTTTGGTCTGTGAGGATCTTCTGGAAAACAACTAATGAATTATAGAGTTTAAAATCAGATCATTTGAATATTAGCTTTCAGCAATGCATTTCTATATAAAATGTTATGGCTAAAGTAAACGAAATCTACATAAAATAGATCTCGAAAAACTAATTGAAGAGGTTGGAATCCGGGTGTCAGAGTTGGATGAAAAATATCCGTTTCTGATTCCGATCCCTTAAAAAATTCCGTCTCTAGACCCTGACTTCCGACTCTGGTTTCGATTTCCAGAAAAAATTTTCAAATTTAGTATCATTATTTTACCTTAGAGAATGAAAGATGTCACGCTTCAAGGGGGAGAGGGTCCAAATATTTGTGACACTTTGTGACCAGGAGGAGAGTGGGTAAACGTAAGTGTGACGTTCCTTTTTTTAAATCAACAAAACAAATAAATTTTTTTCATCTATATTTGCGCAAAATGAATATTAAAGTTATCAAGCGAGCAAATAGCTCATGAATATTAGTTATAGGAGGAGTCAAATTTTAATGCCATCGTTAAAGTTTACCCCTGTGTAGGTGTAGAAGTTAATATTTATTCATTATATTTTAACTACGGTAAAGCCTTTAGATATCAAATTATCGGTAATTCAATATACACGAGATCTGAAAATGACATCTGGTGCAATCGGGTGGAATGTGTTTTTCTTGGTATGTGAGAAACATTTAATGAATTATAGAGTTTAAAATCAGATCATTTGAATATTAACTTTCAGCAATACAATTCTAAATAAAATATTATAGCTAAATTAAACGAAATCAAAATAAAAGAAATCTAGGAAAACTAATTGAAGAGGTTAGGGTTAGGGTGTCAAGTTGAATAAAAAATATCGGCTTCTGATTCCGACCCTTTAAAATATTCCAACTCTCGACTCTGACTTTCGACAATGGTTTCGATTTCCAGAAAAAATTTTCAAATTTAGTATCATTATTTTACCTTAAAGAATGAAAGACGTCACGCTTCAAGGGGAAGGGGGTCCAAATATTTGTGACACTTTGTGACGAGGAGGAGAGTGGGTAAACGTAAGTGTGACGTCCCTTTTTTTAAATCAACTAAACAAATAAATTTTTTTCATCTAAACTCGCTATGGTAAGCCTGTCTACGAACACAATTTATGGTCATTAGATAAATGAAGGCATAACCTAGTTAATTTAATTTTTCTTTGCTTTCCCAAAATTTAAAATTTCGTTGATGAATTATTATTTTATTCATAAATTAATTACTGATTTTATTTAATTTGTTTAATTTTGTTTATTGTTTATTCTTTAAAAGTCAGACTTCGATAGAAACAGAATCTGTTACGAATGCAAGACTATATTAAAAAATTAAAAAATTAACGGAATTGAATGGCACTGTGTAAGTCGTTAAATATGTAAAAATTTATCAAAACATCTTAATTTCTAAAAATTCGATAAATCACACACAAAAAATAAATCTTTTTAGAAATATTTTTTTAACATTTTTATAAAATAAAACAATGCAGTGAATACTATTTCAATTTTGAAAAGCTTGGTTTGTTATATTGAAAAATAAAACCTTTCAATATTATTCTTAGTAAATGTCTACAAACTTATTCATTCTAAACTTCGCAAAACTTTTTAACGATAATTTGTTAATACTATTTTAGTATTTTCATAGAAAAAAGGTAATGTTTTTATTATATACAATTTAGTAAGTAGAAATTTAAAAATTCATTGAAATAAAATGAGGATAAATAGGTTTTAAATACATTTAAACAATTACAAACAACAAATTAATAAAATATTCACAGGACGCATTGCTTCAGTGAAATCTTAGCACCAGAACCATTCTGTTGCTTCAAACGTCTCAATCGACCAACAAGAGATTTTGTCACTCTTCTAGGCAGAGAATTTTTCGTTCTCGTTGTTTCGTAGTTCTCCTGTTTGTCAGCCTCAACTGATGAACAGATGCAGTTCTTGAGTTGTTGCATGATCTTATGAGGATGGTCTTCGTCGAAGATGTGCTTCAACAAGTAGTAATAATTGAGTCCAGGTTGCATTGTTTTAACAGCTGAACAGCAAGGACATTTGAAATGCAACTCATGAGACGTGCAGATGACCTCAACTAAACAACCAGATGGATCGCAAGTAACTTCGTAACAACCTTCTTTCAAGTTCAGGCAGTTGATAGTTGGAGATGTGTTCGAGGTGTTGTTGCTTGGTAAGGTTGCTGAAGAAAATGTGGATGCGTTTGAAGCATTGCTGAAATAGTTGCTCAAATTACTTGTGGATGCGTCGAGTGACGTTGAAGTGATCTGTTGTGGTGTGGTGTCGCCAGTGAGGTCGATGCCATGATCTCCTGAATAACTGCTTGTTGAGAGGATTTCAAAAGTTGGCTCAGTACAACTTTGAACATTTTCATTGTCTTCGTCGTCTATGTACTTGATATTTTCAAATAATTCTGCATTTATAAAAGAACAGCTCGCAAATGATGTTACAATGGTGTCAGCTGAAGAGCTCGATGAACAACTAGTTTCATAAGATGGGAATGTTATTTCCTCAATGCCATCATCGCTGTCCTCACTTCCATCGTTTGTGACAACTTGGAAGCATCTCAGTAGTGAATGGTTGATGCTGTTTCTTCTTTTGTTGATGATGTTGGACAGACGTTTTGATGAAGATGTCTTGCTTGTTGTCGGTCGTTCCTGCTGGCAGTTTCTCGTGTTCTCGAGGGTTTTACATTCTCTGTATAAACAGCAGCAGCATAATGAATGCAATGCCTCTTTTGTATTATTTGACGTAGAACAATTGTTAGAAGGATGAATGTATTTGTCGTTGTTTGTCGTATCATATTCGAGATTCACTGGCTCAGTGCGTTCAACTAATCTACTTGCATCTTTCAATATTGACTTTCGTTTCACGTTTTGTGTTGTGTCGGTTGATGATTCAGTAACTGTTTCAACAAATTTGATTGGAAGTCCTCCGTCAGAAAGGTTGTAATAAACCTGGTAACTCTGATCCACCTCGTTGAACAACAGGAATGATACTCGTCTGGCCATTTTTGTTCACTTATATGAAACGCTCTTGTAATTTAAAATATGATAATGTTTGCAAGCAGATGTTTTAACCAGTTTAACTCGAAATTTTTCAAGTACTAACGAGACATTTGCAGCTTATATAGTAGTTGACGGCGTGGAACCAGCGATGTGTTTGTTAGAAAGGTCATTAATAATCTGGTTGTGATAGTCTAAATTGAAAATGATTAGTCACCTTAATTGATGTCGCTCAACATTCGAACGATCGATTATTGGCACGTGTAATAAACTTTCTAATTGAAATTAACAGTGGGAGACCGTTAAGAGGTGATTCTCTTTACAACTGATTGTTAGAATTTGCTGTGTTGATCGAACATATGCTTAAAGTGAACTTGTGTTGGTTGTTGAGATCTGATACCCAAAAAATATTTTTCGTGTTTGTTTGATCAATATTTAGCAGGTTTTTGTAATTTATTTGGGTAGACTTTAATTTGTTGATTTTAAACAAAAATTGTTATGGCATATGTTCAATAATGCATATGTTCAATAATCAGGTTGCCAGAACCACCGTTGAAGATACATTGGTTAAGGTTTTTATAACTGTTATGTATATACAAAATTTATTCATGCATTGATTGTGTCACATTTTAAAAGATATACCACTTGTTTACTTTCAGCCTGATCCAACAGCTTCTGAATTACAAAAGGACATTAAACAGGATGGACAAAAACACCAGCTCAGGACTTGGCTAAAACAAAACTTCAGTCTACAAATGCACAACTGATGTTGGTACGGAATTCTGGATTGTGGAATGATGAGATGAAGGCGACAGCTAAAGAGTTAGAAGCAGGCCAAAAAACCCTTGAGAAACGGTTAAAGCGTCTGGCATCTGACCAAATCAAAAAAAAGAAATCACGAGTTGAATTCAAACAAAAGATAGAGGAACTCTCACAGATAATCCAGCGGTTGCGAAAAAGTTAAAGAAATTCAACAGAATCAAGACTGGAAGACCACGCTTGGAATGTGATCAACCTTTGTTACTTTAGACAATAATTGATATTGCTACGGTTGGTGCATCAGCAGATGACAAAAGACGAACAGAGAAACTGCAGGCTTGCAAAACATTAGATGAACTGCATGAAGCGTTACTGGAACATGAATATCGTATAAGTCGATCTGCGACTTATTTGCGCCTTCTTCCTAGAAATTCGACCTCCATTGAAGGGAGGCGTCACATAACAACAGTGCCTGTGAAACTACTTAAAGCAACAAACAGCGAGAGGCACAGGCATGATGATGCACGCTTTGCTGCTGCAACAGTGAGTTATCTTAAGGATATAGCGGTCTGCATGGGTGAAGAATGTGTTTTTTTTTCTGAACCAGGACGACAAAGCCCGCGTCCCGCTGGGACTTCCTGCTGCCAACAAACAGTCATCAATACTTATGCATTTAGACTATCGTATTCAGCTACCCGACCATGACTGGGTTGTTGCAAAGCGTCATAAGCTCATCCCATCTGTCTATGCTGTATGTGTAGTGAAAAAGGATCATGTCAGCTACAGCGGACCCACAGCAATTTTAATTCGCAGCGGGAAACATGACAGTAGTACAGCAGCCACTCATGCATACAATTTTCAAACACTGCGAGGTATTTCTCAGTTTGAAGAAGTCATGTGTTCTGGAAATGCAGTCAAACCAGTTGTCATAATTACGATAGACGGTGGCCCAGATGAAAACCCTAGATATCCAAAGACTCTAGCGGCAGCATATCATGCTTTTCGCAAGAATGATTTGGATGCTATCTTCATTGCATGTCATGCTCCTGGGCACTCGGCATACAATGCTGTCGAGCGCCGTATGGCTCCACTTTTACGAGAATTATTTGGGCTTATACTACCACACGACCATTTTGGTTCACATCTAGATGCAAGCCTCAAGACAACTAATGCTGAGTTGGAAATGGCCAATTTTCAGAAAGCTGGCGAAGTCCTTGCCGAAGTATGGAACGCCACTGTCATCGACGGTTTTGATGTAGTAGCGACGTTTGTCCCTTGCTCTACAGGGAAATTGGACCTTCAAGCACCACCAAACGATTGGTTTGCAAGTCATGTTCGACAGTCGCAGTACTGCTTGCATATAATAAAGTGCAATACAGAAGCATGTTGTGGTCTAAAAAGATCACATTTCAATGAAATTTTTCCACATCGTTTTCTGCCGCCACCAATACCCTACATCATCACCAAGACAGGAATTGCTTGTTCACAGGTACTTGTTTACGTTCAATGCAGCTAACAATATTGTCATTTATTTTTATGTAAAGATATATACATATATATGTAATACGGATATATTTTTTTAATTGTATTACAAATAAGAATTTAATTCATAACTCAGATTGTATATTTTAATGTTTTAGGTTGGAAGCACTGAAGGCTCTTATGGTTCGATCTTTTAACGCATTGCATTGTCGCATTTACAGAAGGACTAGATACCTTTTGATCACTTCTGTACCTCGTTGTCCTCTGACGTACTACAGAAACAAACATGTTTTCTCTGCCATTTGTACTTCCCATCACAAGGTGCGATGAAAACACACTCACGTAACCACAAGGATAAAGGGCAGCCACCTGTTCAGCAAGATCAAGATGACACACCACATGTTGAACAGGATCCAGATGAAGGATACAGTGGGGAGATTTTATGTTCAGAAGCTGTTTCACCGCCTGTCAGAATGGATCAGCCCTTTCCAGTTGTGCGTAACCTTTTCGAATGGTTGCAGAGTGCTTTCGTTGACATTGAATGAAGTTACATTAACAAAAAACTTATGAAAAAATTTTATGTTTTAATTATAATTTTGAAACATGTCTTTTTTTACGCATACATACGGATTTTACAAGTACTGGTTAAACAGAAATGACTTTGTTATTAAAAAACTTTTTATAAGAGACTTTGTTTTAAAAGACCCTTTTAAAAAGACTTTGTTTTAAAGGACCCTTTTAAAAAGACTTTGTTTTAAAAGACTCTTTTAAAAAGACTTTGTTTTAAAATACCCATTGCTTTTTGGTTGCTATTATCATTATGATATAATAGTAATAACAACAATATAAATATAAAATTATTAAAATTCAACAGTTCTGTACAAATATAATTTTTAAAGTTCAAAAGTTCTGTATTAAGCTCAACAATTTAATAAATTTTAACAAATCGATAACAAATTAAAAAATTCGACCAAACATTAACGATTTTGTTTATGTTTTAACTTTGTTGTTGATAAAAATGTTGAACTCAAATGGTGGTTAACTGTTTAGCTTAAGAATGGAGCTACAAAGAATCAACGCTAATCTAGCTCAATCGGTAATTCAAAAAGCCACAATGGAATTTTTGAAAAAGTTCAACTTGCAGCTATACACGAGATCTGAAAATGACATCTGGTGCAATCGGGTGGAATGTGTTTTTCTTGGTATGTGAGCATCTTCTGGAAAACAACTAGTGAATTATAGAGTTTAAAATCAGATAATTTGAATATTAACTTTCAACAATACAATTCTAAATTAAATATTATAGCTAAATTAAACGAAATCTACATAAAAAAAATTTAGGAAAACTAAATGAAGAGGTTAGGGTGTCAAAGTTGGATAAAAAATATCGGCTTCTGATTCCGACCCTTTAAAATATTCCAACTCTCGACTCTGACTTTCGACAATGGTTTCGATTTCCAGAAAAAATTTTCAAATTTAGTATCATTATTTTACCTTAGAAAATGAAAGATGTCACGCTTCAAGGGGAAGGGGGTCCAAACATATGTGACACTTTGTGACCAGGAGGAGAGTGGGTAAACGTAAGTGTGACGTTCCTTTTTTTAAATCAACAAAACAAATAAATTTTTTTCATCTATATTTGCGCATAATGAATATTAAAGTTTTCAAGCGAGCAAATAGCTCATGAATATTAGTTAAAAAAGGAGTCAAATTTTATTGCCATCGTTAAAGTTTACCGCTGTGTAGGTGTAGAAGTTTATATTTATTCATTATATTTTAACTACGGTAAAGCCTTTAGATATCAAATTATCGTTATATAAACTTGTCATTCGTTATTTTGATATCAATAAAAAATAAAATGAATAAAACGATTATATTGTTTTATGACTTATCATTAAGAGGGGTTAAATTTTTGTCACATGCTTAATTTTGGAGGCTTGGTCGATTTGTGTCAGTTTGTGACACGGGTGAGGGGGGTCAATAAAACGTTAAAAAAGTCCGGTATCCTTAATGGACAGCCCCTTATTATCACTAACAAATAAACATTTCATGAAAACATTTAAAATCAGTCAAATTAATTGTTTTGCTCAGCAAAATTATTACATGTTTATGTTTATTAACAGACCGAAAAAAATCATTCATTTCATTCCAGTAGTACAATAGCTTTTATTTTCAGTATTGAGGAGGATCGCTTATCGCTACACATATTTATTTTTCAAAAAACACCTTCTTTAACAAAATTTCATAATAAAAAAAACAAATTATTTTAAATTGATAACATTTTTCGGAATTGGATGAAAAACATTCACTTAAAAAAAACTCCTCAAAAAATACTGAATCCAGCAAAAAATCTTTGACAGACTGAGACACGCCAGTTGGAAAGACGATGACTGGAGAGTTTTTTTAAACTCGCTATGGTAAACCTGTCTACGAACACTATTTATGGTCATTAAATAAATGAAGGCATAACATAGTTAATTTAATTTTTCTTTGCTTCCCCAGAAATTAAATTTTAGTTGATGAATTATTATTTTATTCATAAATTAATTACTGATTTTATTTAATTTGTTTAATATTGTTTATCGTTTATTCTTTAAAAACCAGACTTTGATAGACGCAGAATCTGTTACAAATGCAAGACTATATTAAAAAATTAAAAAATTAATGGAATTGAATGGCACTGTGTAAGTCGTTAAATATGTAAAAATTTATCAAAACAGCTCAAATTCTAAAAATTCGATAAATCACACAAAAAAAATAAATATTTTTAGAAATGTTTTTTTAACATTTTTATAAAATAAAACAATGCAGTGAATACTATTTCAATTTTGAAAAGCTTGGTTTGTTATATTGAAAAATAAAACATTTTAATATTATTTTTGGTAAATTTTTACAAACTTATTCATTCGAACCTTCGCAAAACTTTTTAACGATAATTTGTTAATACTATTTTAGTATTTTCATAGAAAAAAGGTAATGTTTTTATTATATACAATTTAGTAAGTAGAAATTTAAAAATTCATTGAAATAAAATGAGGATAAATAGGTTTTAAATACATTTAAACAATTACAAACAACAAATTAATAAAATATTCACAGGACACATTGCTTCCGTGAAACCTTAGCACCAGAACCATTCTGTTGCTTCAAACGTCTCAATCGACCAACAAGAGATTTTGTCACTCTTCTAGGCAGAGAATTTTTTGTTCTCGTTGTTTCGTAGTTCTCCTGTTTGTCAGCCTCAACCGATGAACAGATGCAGTTCTTGAGTTGTTGCATGATCTTATGAGGATGGTCTTCGTCGAAGATGTGCTTCAACAAGTAGTAATAATTGAGTCCAGGTTGCATTGTTTTAACAGCTGAACAGCAAGGACATTTGAAATGCAACTCATGAGACGTGCAGATGACCTCAACTAAACAACCAGATGGATCGCAAGTAACTTCGTAACAACCTTCTTTCAAGTTCAGGCAGTTGATAGTTGGAGATGTGTTCGAGGTGTTGTTGCTTGGTAAAGTGGCTGAAGAAAGTGTGGATGCGTTTGAAGCATCGCTGAAATAGTTGCTCAAATTACTTGTGGATGCCACGTGTGACGTTGAAGTGATATGTTGTGGTGTGGTGTCGCCAGTGAGATCGATGCCATGATCTCCTGAATAACTGCTTGTTGAGAGGATTTCAAAAGTTGGCTCAATACGACTTTGAACATTTTCATTGTCTTCGTCGTCTATGTACTTGATATTTTCAAATAATTCTGCATTTATAAAAGAACAGCTCGCAAATGATGTTACAATGGTGTCAGCTGAAGAGCTCGATGAACAACTAGTTTCATAAGATGGGAATGTTATTTCCTCAATGCCATCATCGCTGTCCTCACTTCCATCGTTTGTGACAACTTGGAAGCATCTCAGTAGTGAATGGTTGATGCTGTTTCTTCTTTTGTTGATGATGTTGGACAGACGTTTCGATGAAGACGCTTTATTTTTTGTCGTACGTTCCTGCTGACTATTGCTCGTGTTCTCGAGGGTTTTACATTCTCTGTATAAATAGCAGCAGCATAATGAATGCAATGCCTCTTTTGTATTATTTGACGTAGAACAATTGTTAGAAGGATGAATGTATTTGTCGTTGTTTGTCGTATCATATTCGGGATTCACTGGCTCTGTGCGTTCAACTGATCTATTTGCATCTTTCAATATTGACTTTCGTTTCACGTTTTGTGTTGCGTCAGTTGATGGTTCAGTAACTGTTTCAACAAATTTGATTGGAAGTCCTCCGTCAGAAACGTTGCTATAAACCTGGTAACTCTGATCCACCTCGTTGAACAACAGGAATGATACTCGTCTTGCCATTTTTGTTCACTTCTATGAAACGCTCTTATAATTTTAAAATATGATAATGTTTGCAAGCAGATGTTATAACCAGTTTAACACGAAAATGTTCAGGTACTAACGAGACATTTGCAGCTTATATAGTAGTTGACGGCGTGGAACCACCGATGTGTTTGTTAGAAAGGTCATTGTTCAATTGATAATCTTATTGTGATCGTCTAGATTGAAAATGATTTGCCATCTTAATTGATGTCGCAAAACATTCAAACGATCGATAATTGGCACGTATAATAAACCTCATAATTGAAACTAACAGTGGGAGACCGTTGGGTGGTGGTTCTTTTACAACTGATTGTTAGAATTTGCTGCTGTTGGACATATGTTTGAGTTGGACATTTGTTGAAGTGTAATGGCCAAATGAATTTTCAATGTACGCATATTTTTTGAACCTTATTTAGAAATTTTCTGTTAATTATTTTTTTGCGTAGTTTTCTCGTTTTAGTTAAACGAACAAGTTTTTTAAGTTTATTGCTTCAGAAAATAAAACAGTAATCAATACACAGTTTTTGATTATTTGAAACAAGAGTATTAATATGATAAGGTACAACAAAAATAGAAATTAAAATAATGAGCATAATTTGCCACCATTCTTTTAATGCGTATGGCAGTGTCACGACTAAACTACGGTACCACCGGCGAGATAATTGTTCAACTTTTCTTTCGATTATTGCTTGCTCATTTTTTAAGCTATTGATAAATTTCCAAACAGTCGGGTGACTAGCTCCAATTAATTTGCCAAAGGCTTTATGCCATCCTTCGCAAGAATTATTAGCTTGCAGCATTATTTCAATTCCATAGTTCGTATAGAAATTGGGGAGGCCTTCTTTGACGACAATTTGGACGTCCAATCCATATGTCTTCAAATTAATCTATGACTGGTACCCTCTCAGCCAGAAATTTTCTTGATAACAGTTCAAACTTTTCAACAATTTCAGACGGGGGTACAAAGGCCGAGATCATCCGCGTCTTCAGAGCAAATTCAGCGTCTGTTTCATAGCGTCATTAAAAACCATTAACTTGAATGTTACGCCAAACGCACTGGCTGAAGGGAAAAAACAGCCCTTTTGTCTTGAAGGTGGGAACGTGTCACCAAAAGCATTAATATCTGACAGTTCAAAGTCGGTCGTAATCAAAACTGGAGCCTATTTGAGCTGTAACC